CTGTTTTACGTTTTTGTTCACCATTTGTCTTTTTATTTTGTGTATCCCTTAATAAATTATCATAGTTATAGCTGTCTTTGCTACTTCATGTTTCAGCTTTCATACAAGCTTTGTAAGTGATTAACCCACCACCTTTACAACATTAGACTCTGAATTTTACTATGTATTTACCTTCACCAGTGAGATTTATACTTTTGTATTTTCTCGTTACTAATTAGCACCCTTCATTTTAGCTTCAAGAAATCTCTTTAAAATTTCTTCTAAGGCAGGGCGACTGAGTAGCTCGTTTGGTTGAGTGTCCAACTTTGGCTCAGGTCATGATCTCACAGTGAGTTTGAGCCCCACATCAGGCTCTCTGCTCTCAGCATGGAGCCCACTTCAGATCTTCTGTTCCCTTCTTTCTCTGCCCCTTCCTCTCTGGTTCTCTCTCTCTCAAAAAGAAAATTAAATTTCTTCTAAAGCTAGTATAGTGCTGATGAACTTCTTTTTGCTTGTCTGGAAGACTCTTTATCTCTCCTTAAATTCTGAATGAAAACATTGTCAGGTACAGTAGGTATTCTTGGCTGGAAGTTTTTTTTCTTTCAGCACTTTGAATAACACTCCCTTCTGGTCACCAGAATTCTCCTGAAAAATCTGATCTTACGGAGGAAAATCCCTCTTACGTAAGAAATTGGTTTTCTTTTGATGCTTTTAAAATTCTTTCCTTGTCTTTAACTTTTGACATTGTAATTATAATGCGTTTGAGTCTCTTCAGCTTTGTATTTGGAACTCTCAGGGTTTCCTGGATCTGGATTTCTGTTTCTGTCCCCAGCTTAGAGAAATTTTCTGGTAGCTGTTCTTTCTTCAGATGAGCTTTCTGCCCCTTTCTCTTTTCTCCTTCTTCTGGAACCTTTTAATACAAACATTGGTCTGCTTGATGTTATTTCGTAAGTCCTATAAGCTCTCTTTTCTACATTGTTGGGTTTTTTTTTTTTTTTCTTATTTTTGCTGCTCTGATTGGCTGAGTTCTGTCTGCCCTGTATTTGAGTTTTCATGTCCTTTCTTCTTCTTCATCCAGTTTACTGTTGAACCCCTCCGGTTATTTTTCAGTTCATTTATTGTATTCTTTAGCTGTCCCTTGGAGGAGGACCTAAGTCAGCACCTAGATTCAGGCTGATTGTACATAAATCAGACTGTCAGGCAGCAGCTTTTAAAGTATACAAATATAGGGACGCCTGTGTGGCGCAGTCGGTTAAGCGTCCGACTTCAGCCAGGTCACGATCTCACGGTCCGTGAGCTCGAGCCCCGCGTTGGGCTCTGGGATGATGGCTCGGAGCCTGGAGCCTGTTTCCGATTCTGTGTCTCCCTCTCTCTCTGCCCCTCCCCCGTTCATGCTCTGTCTCTGTCTGTCCCATAAATAAATAAAAATGTTGAAAAAAAAAATTTAAAGTATACAAATATATACAGTCCTATAGGACTGCAAGCATTAGGTCCTGCCAGCTACCTAGGCTGGGCACCCTGAGTGTCAGTCACAAACATTAGGGTGCCAGGCAACTATATGAGCTCCTTTCTGGGAGATACCAGCTATCTGAGGCAAGGCAGATGGAGGGCACAGGGCGGCATCTACTGACTTACCGGCTAAGTACAGCATCTTAGTAGGTCTCTAGACGTATGTCAAACCAAAAGCCAGCCCCTTCGGTCAAAAGCTCCAGGACACGCAAATAGTCCCTTCTCACAGGAAGAATGGGGGTGTGTTTCAGTCTGTATTGTGCCCTGGGGTTTGCAGCAGGCCAGAGACTGTCTGCCCGTTTGTGGCAGTCAGTCGTACGGGATACAGGGATGCCGACCCTACTGGCCACCAGAGCGGAGCAATTAAGGGGCATCCGTGAGGTGGTAGCTGCAGAAAACAAGGCTGCAGATGTAGAAACGGGGCACCGGACGTTGTACAAGCTCCCCTCTGGGAGATACTGGAGCACGGCAGAAAGAGAACAGAAAGATAGCCGTCTGAGGTCTCCGGAAAGGTTTGCAGTCGGCCCTTAGATGTGTGTTTGATTGCAAGTCTATCCCTCAGACGTAGCCATGGAGATTAGCCAATAGGCCTCTTTCACAGAAAGTTTGGGCTCTTCGGACCGTTGCCTCTTGCTTTGCTCTGGAAATGGTAGACAGTCAAAAACTCTTTCTCTGTTGGTGACAGTCCTGTGTGACTCATTAGCCGGTCGGCCACCACGGCCAGGCAGTCTAGAGATGTCACCTTGCAGCACCTGCAAGAATCGGGGCACCCGATGAGGGCCTGAATTCCTTTCTGGGAGATACTGACAAGCCGGAGTGAGGCAGAGAAAGCGGGCAAGCATGGTGTCCACCAGCCTCCCTTCCCCGAGAGTCTGTCAATGGGCCTCCGGACGTGTGCCAAGCCACAAGCCTGCCCCTCAGGCCGAAGCTCCAGGACAAGCACAACAGTCCTTTATCACAGGAAGACTGGGCAGATGTTGCCATGGTGTTAGCTGGCCATGAACTGTCTCTCCAATTGTTACAGTCTCGTGGGTCCCCAGAATGCAGGCGCTGCTGGCCCCCAGAGCCAGGTGACCCAAGGGGCGTTCACACCGGGTGGCAGTTGCGAAAACGGAGACACCCGGTATAAAACCAATACCAGGTGCATGTAACAGCTCCACTCTGGGAGATGCTGGTGCTCTGGAGGGCAGTGGAGGGAGGGCATAAAGATGATGCCTGCTGGGGGAAAAAAAGAAGGAGCCTGGATTAAAAAGAATTTTTTTTAAAGTGTCTACTGGCCTCCATCCTTGGAGAGTATGCTGGCGGGCCGGCCCCTAGATGTGTGCTGACTTAGATGCCTGCCTCTCAGGCCGATGCTTTAAGATAGGTAAAGAAGCTGCCCTCACGTAAAGTCTGGCCGCTTCTGCACTGGGCCCTGGTGCCGGTGAGTCCAGGGGCCTGAGCCCTTCAACAACCATTTCTCAGTTTGCATGATAGCCTTTTGGGTCTCAGGGATGCAAACCCTGTGGGCTTTCAAAGCTGTAAGTTTCAGGGGCTTATCTCTCAGCGGTAGGTCTTAGAAGTTGGGGTTCCCGATGTAGGGTTCAAACCCTTCACTCCTCCCTGAGAAGCTCTGGATTTCCAATGCTGGTTGGGGGGGGGGGAGGTTCGGCAAGATTGCATCCCTGCCTTTCCTAAACACTTCAGTGCGAGCTGTTTGCCCGATGTTAGGAGTCCCTCAGCTTTGGTTTTCAGAGGAAACTGTTCATTTGTAGCTGTACATCTGGTGTGTCTGTGGGAGGAGAGGAATTCAGGATCTTCCTGTGTCTCCATCTTGAAGGAGCCTTATTCCTTTTTCTGACTGATATTCCATTATATGTAAATCCCTTGTGTATCCAGTCATCTGTTGATGGACGTTTAGGTTGTTTCTCCTTTCTGGCTGTTGTAAGTGCTGCTGTGAACATTCATGTACAGGTATCTGAGTGCTCATTTTCAAGGTTTTGGGGTATATGTATACCTACTTGGGACAATTGCTGTTTATATGGTAATTCTGTTCCTGTTGTAGAACTGCCAAACTGTTCCAACAGTGGGTGCAACACTTCACATTCCCACCGGCAGTGGGCGAGGGATCCGGTTTCTCCGCATCCTTGCCAACACTTTTTTTTTTTTTTTTTTTTTTAAGTAAGCTCCAAGCCCAGCTTGGGGCTTGAACTCACAACCCTGAGATCAAGAGTCGCACGCTCAACTGACTGAACCAGCCAGGTGCCCTTCCTTTTTTTTATAGTTATCCTAGTGGGTATGAAATGGTGTTTCACTGTGGTTTTGATTTGCATTTCCCTAATGACTAATGTGGAGGACGTTTTTATACCCTTGTTGGCCGTGTATATATCCTCTTCGAAGAAATGTCTATTTAAGTCAAGACAGTCAATTTTTACAGTGTTTTCATAGGCCTTTTTGTAATTATAAATGCACCAAAGTTTTATTGTAGCTATAACTTTCAAGCAGATTCTGATAAGGCTTTGAGAAACCGTCTTACAGTTCTACTAAGCTTCATCCACATCACATGAAGGCAACAACTTAAAATACAGACTCCATTAAGGTATGTTTTGCTATCACCTTAGAGCCTCTTTAGAGCCATTTTATCCCCACTGGATATCATTATTGGAGTTTCTGGTACTGATCATCAGTATGAACCTTTAGGTGGTGCTCTTTGATTAAAACAGTATATTCCTCAACCAATTTAAATACAGTAGGACATCCTAGGAAGAAAAGTGGCCTTTTTTTTTTTTTTTTTTTCTTTTTTGAGGGATTATCTCCCAGGTCTGCTCAGAACTTTTCCTCATACAATTTCTGTTGCAGAGTCTAATCTGTCTCATCTCCTTTTACCCCATTTCCAAAGATCCGGACATGAAGTTCTCCTCCAGGAGACTGTCAGTTGTGGAATAGGAAAGAGGCAGGTCCTGATTTCGCACCATATAAAGCACCCCTAGGCTGAAACTGTCATCTGGGCAATTGTGCCTCCCAAAGAAGCCCCCCACCGATGTCTTCCTGCAGAGAACCTCCTTCTCTGCGTCACAGTCCCATTTCCTTAGTGGGGTCACTGTCTGGGAGCTGCCTGCCTGTACTGCAGCTGGCTCAGCCCATTCAGCCCTCCCAGACTCAAGCCTCAGGTCTGCCTCCTCTGCTCTCCTGCCCTTCAGCATCCTGATTCCCCTTTGATCATTTGCTCACTTCCCAGCCCCATAGGTGGAAAGTTACCTATGTTTTTATTATGGTTTCAGAACCTAGGTCATTTTAAAAAATCGTGCCTCATCTAAGTATGCTAAGATCCACCCTCCCTGGACACAATTGGTCTTGCCAACTATAAATCCATACCCACCGCCTTTCAAGTCTAATGGCCTTTTCTCAGTAGCTTCTCCCCTAATACTCAATACCCTGCCCCTAACTTGTATTTCTCACCAAAGGACCCCTGCGTTTCTTTAGAAACCTTGCAGACCTAGATTCTTCTGTCACATACCTTACTTGAAATATCCTTTCCAAAGATTTTACTAAAGCATTTATTTTTTAAACAAAAATATACATTAAATCTGATTTACAGAATATAGAAATAATTTATCCAAAGCAATTTGCATTTTACAATTGCTAATATTGCACCCAGCAGTGTAAGTCTTTGACACATTTGCGTTGTCGACCTTTCCCACAATTCACAAAACAGGAGAGAAAACGGAGAAGAATACAAGCAAACTTTTCTTTACCAAAGAAAGAAAGAAAAACAATTTACAGTTTATGTACAAGAGTTGTAAACTTCCAGAACTTTACTTCCATAGAATAAAGAGCCATACATTCTTTTATCATTCCTAGAATATGAATGATATACATGTTGTGATTTCCTCATAGGAATTCAAAAGGACAGGTATTGTGAACATTCACAGCCTAATGGTAAAGAACAGAATTATTGAAAACACTTCTGTATCTTCACTAGAATATGGGAACTAGCATGTGAAAAACTAGTGTGTGAAAAGCCTCGAGAAAAATAACTTTTGCCTCTTTGAGGATAGTTTCCATAATTGCTTAAAATCATTTTCAGTTTTAAAGGATACTCTGTTAGAAATGTGGCTGCCAACAGCCTTTTTTTCTCTGAAGACAAGTGAAAAAGTGGGGTCTCTGTTCAAATCCCTTAAAACACATGTAGGCAGGCACAAAGTTTGCTTTTCAAAAGAAAGCGTTACAAAGTCACAATTTATCACGGCTACCCTTAGTTTTTAAGAACTTAAAAAAAAAGTCCATAAATATTTAAATGCATCTTTTCAAAATGGAGGGAAGGAAGTGGCTAAAATATGCAGTAGTAAGAGTAAACGTAGGTGATGCACACTTTTAACCTGGTAGTAAACCGAAGCAGACTGAAACCTTGTACTTATGAAATGTGAAGTGATTTTCCTTGATTGAACCAACAGGAGAACATGAAACCATGCAGCTCATTATCTTCCAGGTGATGAACATTCAGGATTTTTTCTGTCGTGGCCATTATAAATAAAAGGTCTTTGTTAAGAAGGTACCCAATGGGGCAAAAAAAAAAAAAAAAGTAACCTCTGGTTATGTATGTTGAAGATTCCAGGCAGGAATGATCTCATTGTAATTTTATAATGCGGTACCATTTGCACTGAAATATAAGTTTCTAATTCTGTTGTCCCAGATCGAGACTGGATTACGACATCCCCTCTGAAGCCTAATGAACACAAGCAGTTGAACAAGAGGACTTTTGAAAAGGTATTCTTGGCTTCGCCATTGCAATAGTCCAGCCCAAGTGGTTTGTTACAAAAGTTGTTGTCTTTAACATCCTCGTGACAAATTCAGTTTTTGGTTTTTTAAAAAGTCCTGAGAGTCTTTCATAAAAAAATAGACATCTGTGTGTGTGTGTGTGTGTGTGTGTGTGTGCGCGCGCGCGCGTGTGCCGGCTTCCCCGCCGCATCAGCTCTCCACAGTCCGCCGGTACTCCGCGGTGCCCTCGGCTATGATCGCGTCCAGCGGGGAGCGCTTCTTCCGGATGCTGCGCCCGGAGGAGATGAGGTCCGCGTAGCCGCGCTGGTGCGAGAAGGCGTAGGCGGAGCGCCGCGAGGATACGCCCCGGCGGAACGCGTGCTGCCGCCGCTTCCACTGCTCTTCCGCTTTCAACCGCTTTCGATGCTTCTGGATCTGCGGGGGTAGGGGGCGAGGCCGACAATGAAATGGAAGGGCTGTGGTGGCGGAGGTGGACGGGCACTAACGCCCAGGGGGTGGGGGCCCTCCTGAAGTCTGACTTGTTTAAGGCGGCATCGCCGTGCTCCTTTTACAGGGGATGGCGCGCCGAGCGGTTATGTAACACTTTCAAGGTCTCGGACCTTCTAGAAAACGGGGAGCCGGAATTCCCACTCGCCTCCGCTACTGTTCTTTGCCACTGACAAATTAGACTGGGACAGATTCGAGAGAAAATTCCGTTCCCTTTCCCTTGTTGCTACTGCATCTTCTGGTCAGCAGACATGGGAGAATATCTAGGGGGCACTGAAGGTTGCTTGCCTAGCATCTTCTCTCTCCTTCCTGATGAAGAAGGAGTAGAGTCAAGAACACCTTTCCTGCATACAGTCACAACCCTCTTGGGCTGTGGAGACTGCTCCCAGGAGCAGGGCTGGTTGACTTCCCTTGCTCCGCACGAGTCCGGCAATGGCCGTGTGACCTCATCTGGCTAAGGGGATCTGCATGATGTGGCCTGGGCCCTCCCATGCACAACTCTCGGGCTGCTAAGAGAAAGCTATGGAGCAGTCTCCTGTCTTCATCTGGACGGGTGTGTCAGAAGGAGGTGCCTGGAACTGCAGTAGCTATCCCCCCAACTTCAAGGTGAAGCTCATAATGAGGATAGCAGAGGGGAGAGATGGAAAGAACCCCAGTGCTTGTGACAGACGTTTAGGTGCTCAGTCACCAGAGCCTGAAGCCTGCTGCTGATTATGTGAATTGAAGTGCTACATTGTTTGAACAACTTGTAGCTCAGACATTCCACCAGAAGAGGTGGCATTTTCTATAGGTACGTACATACCCCAACCTATTTGCAGGGCAAAATGTTAATATTGTAATTGTTAAATTAGGGGATGGACATATGGGGGTTCATTATACTATTCTCCCTTTGATAATGTTTAAAATAAAAAGCATGAAAAGAAAAATCCCTGTCTCAAAGGACTTCTTTGCAAGACGGAGTTAAAGAGTAGTATTAAATAAACCTCCATACCAAAGTTCCAATGAGTTTAGAATTTGCAGGAAAGCTGCTGTGGGGACACGCTCTGATTTCTGTGAGGGGCACTCAGAATGAGGAGAATACTGTTTTTTCTATACCTTATCACTTTCTGATGGCCAAATGGTCATTGACAAGAAGCGTATGGCAACGACGGGCAGTAAGCACACTGCAACGGTCAGAATGATGGTCAACCAAATGTATGGCTGTCTCAAGGCATTTGATGCTGTGCCTGCAAAAACGTGGAGGATGAATCACAGAGGTCCTTCATCTGAAGAGCATAGTTAATATCCCGTAACCCTTACATGCATTGTCTATGGTAAAATTTTACAATCAGATTGGCCTCCCCAGAACATTCCATCACTGCTGAAGGAATGAACATTTTAAAATAGGACTAAGCAGGGGCTCCTGGGTGGCTCAGTCGGTTAAGCGTCCGAATTTGGCTCAGGTCATGATCTCGCGGTCCGTGAGTTTGAGCCCTGCGTCGGGCTCTGTGCTGACAGCTCGGAGCCTGGAGCCTGTTTGAGATTCTGTGTCTCCCTCTCTCTCTGACCCTCCCCCGTTCATGCTCTGTCTCGCTCTGTCTCAAAAATAAATAAACGTTAAAAAAAAAAAATTTTAAATAAAATGGGACTAAGCAAAACAAAATCAGGAAGGCAAATGTACATCAGCAAATGACTAAGCGAAAAATAAAAAGTATGTTTGTTGACATCGTATTAGGTAAAAATGCAAAATTAGGCAATTTATTATACTTCTCAATTTTTCCAGGAATTTATTTTTCAAAGTTTATAGTTTGAAACTCCAGATAACAATAACAATTAGCACTGCCGTTTGTATGACAGGTCTTAACACTAGGTGTTTTATTTGGGTCATGCTATTTAGTCAGCTCTGAGGGATAAATAAGTTTCCTCTTTGCCTCATAACAAAATTGTGGAGAAGTAAAAAGATTCACCCAGGGTAACAAAACTACCAATGGCCACTTCTAAACTGAAACCCACATCCATTTGACTAGAGCCATACTTTTTCCACTGCAGTTCGCTGCTGGTTTATGGCAGAGGAAGTAACAATTCTATCATACAACCAGGTAATCCTATTACTACCCAGTTTTAAAGCTATAATTAACATCCTCTAGAGCGAAATTTGTCAGTGTTTTCTGTACTTACACTGTAAGTTTATAAAAATGCCTTTTTTGAAAAAATGTGTTGTTATACTGCTAAAAATGTGTTTAAAAACATTCCCTTTGGGAATATTCTAACAGGGCACTAAATTTTTTAAGACACAAAACAATGCAACCAAAAACAATCACCAAAAAAAAAAATGAGCTTAATCCCAAGAAAAGGGTTACCATAGCAACGGTCTTTTTACAACTGGTCATTAAAAAAAACAAATACAAACTCATCTTTTACAGGGAAACTAGTTCATGGGGATTTATTTTTTCCATTGTGAACTCAAAGCTACTCTATTTAAGAAATTTGTAAATTCTGATTCATGATATAAATTTTAAAACGTGTGAAATAGCAATTAAGATTCTAGCATTTATCATTTGTCCTATTTTATATGGCTGTAAAGTAATTTCTAAAAATTTACTGCTCTGCATTCATTTTTCTAATGATGTTACAGTTTTCCACTTTTGAATTCTAGAATTTCCTCATACATGATTCATAGCTTGATTAGCTAATATACTGTTTTTATTAGGTCTTTGAATTATTTCCACTTTTTAAAAATAATTGGAATCGTGGTGGTGGTATAATCTTTGTACAAATTAGCCTTTCCAAAAATTGGTATGTTTTATCTTAAGGTGTTTTCTCCAGTTGGAAATACTAGGTCAAAATGTATGAGAAGTTTTATAGGACGTGACATATTTCCAGATAATGCTTTGAAAAAATTAAGTTATATTAATAGTTTACATGCATACTCAATTTCTCATTACCTACCAATATTAGATTTTTGGGGGGGGGATAAAAACTGAACAGATGCACAATTGTATCTTAAAACTTTTTAATTTTGCTTTCTTACTGTCACATTACCACACTTCCAGCCCACCACTGTTGTTCATTTGCCAGTCAGGACATTAATTTTCACTAGCAATAATTTGCACCTTGTGTTTTACTTAGAAGTTATGTCAGAATCTAAATTAATAACATTTCTTGACACCTTTATGTTTGGAATTTAGAAAATACCAACCTGTAAATTGAAATGCAGATGGAAAGAGAACATGTATCCCAGCACTATGAAAGTCAAACATGATGCCAAAATAAAGTGCAATGCTGCCAAAAATTGAAAAAGCATTCACAAAGGTCCAGTAAGAAGTATCCAAGCCAATCTGTTGGGAAACCAGAGAAAGAGCACTCATTTTGGGGAGTCACCAAGAAATAAAGGATCCAAGGATTCTGAAAACAGAATTCAGCAATTTAAGCATGATCTGGCTTGAATACTAAACAAACAGAAACTACCCTCGGCTCAGGTGAGAAGTAGGAAATGTGCTTGGTGTAAGGGGTGACGATAGCGTTCATGTTTTGTAAAATGGCAAAGGCTTAGCTGGAGGGAGAGTGACAGCCAGATGGCTATGCGCACTGGTCTATGTACAGAAATCCTGGTAACTCTCAGATACAGAGAACACTTGACCAAAGCCATGTACCTGGAAGTTGACTGTTATTATAAGAGCAGAAGCAATCGTCACAGCAAAAGACTGGTAGTCTGAAGGTGCCTCTCCATCCTGCCCCACAGTTTGCAGATAAGCTCCAAGAGGTATGAAGAAGAGGACCATCGATGTTAAAATTCCGTGCACCAAGCTTACGAAGAATCTCTTATAGTTGAAAAGTAAGTCTTTTTGTCCTACTATGTACAGCCCAGGGAAGCGGAGGCTCAGTTTGTCACTCACATCCTTAAAGGGAAAACACCATTAGCTGCGTATCCGCCAGGAATCGAAGAACTCCGAGATCCATTACAGTTTATACCTCACAAAGAGTGTCAACTTACTCAGTTTTAGGAAGGCAAAAACTCGACAAGGTAAGTCCTGATGAGTTGGCAGTGTGCAGAGGCCAACCTCTTTAGTCCACCATTACTTGATATTTAATTAAGATACGGATAGGTAGAAATTTATTATTTTGCTGTTCATAGAAAGCAAACTAGTAATTTCAAAAAAAAAAAAAAATGGAGGGAGGCTATTTTTACCTCCTGGGAAAACAGATTCTGATTAGTTCTTTGGGAAAGTATTTTCACATACAAGTTGATGGGTTAATTCCAAATTACTCTTTTTATTCATTAAAGTACTTTACCAAGAATCGCTACTAGATAGAATGTGAACTAATTTGGGAATTAAACACCTAAGTTTAGAGAAATATTAAAATAGTTGACGTTTACAGTAAGTTATAGAGACATACTATACTGTTGGGTGTCTTAACAAGAAACTGTTAGTGTCCAAAAGGAAGATAATACACTTTTTTGTCAATGAATTCAACCCAGGCACAGAAATCCTCGTTTCTTACTATAAAACAGGAAGCACAGTTCCTCTTGTTGCCTGGCAACAGGACAGCCATAGGGTTTTCTCAGGAAGAAGGGAAAACCAAAAGAATGCAGTGAAATAATATTTGCTTTTTGCTTCTCGAACAGGTGCTCGGTCTGCCCTGACGTGTCCCTGTGAGCACAAGGTCCTACCTGGTCAAGCAGCCCCATGAGGAGCACGGGCAGGCTGGAGTAGAGCACGTTGTAGAGCGTGATGAACCAGTCCTCGTACGCCGTCTGTGGGGAGGTTAGAGTCTGCGTCACAAACCAAGACCTGCTGCTGGCCTAGTCAATGCACATGCATTCTTTCTCAACTGGGAGGCCCCCAGCATGCGTGGGGGCTTCTGCCAGCGTAAACCCCACTCCTCTGCATTTGCAGAAGGTGTGAGTTGGGTTCAACGGAATGGGCAGAATCCACACTCCGCAGAACAGACCTTCCTTCTAAAATGAATGGGAGAACATACACCAAAACATTTTTTGGGAAGGGAGTCCGTCCATTCTATGTGAAGAATGCTGGAAAATATGTTGGTGCCCATCCTTTCTGTATCCCTTTGTTAACAAATTCGGAATACATAAACCCACAGACCGGCCCAAGAAGCACATAAGGTATCATTCGAATGTTCTTTACTTTTACTTTGCAAGTCCAGCATTTCTATTTAAACATTTTGTGAAGCAGAATTTGAATTTTAAAAACAGGCGCCTGGGTGGCTCCGTCGGTCAGGTGTCTGACTTCGGCTTGGGTCATGATCTCACAGTCTGTGAGTTCGAGCCTCGTATTAGGCTCTGCGCTGTCAGTGCAGAACCTGCTTCGGATCCTCTGTCCCCCTTCTCTCTCTGCCCTTCCCGCCTTGCTCTCTCTCAAAAATAAACGTTTAAAAAAAATACGCTTCTGAAAAGGATGCACAGGGTTTGCGCACACACATCCTCAGGGTGGCAGAGAGGAAACAGGCCTGCTGGTCACCGCCAGTGGTGGTGGTCCTGCATGGGAGCAGGAAGAAGGCCCTTGTGTGTTCAAGGTTGCTCCTGACCCACGGTTCCCAAGGATCCTCTGATACCATTTGAGGCACACCATCAGAAGTTTGGACAACCACATGCGCTGACAGGTTCACTTTTACTAGTGATGCTTTTCTGCCGTATCACCGTTTTAACATATATGACCCCCACTCCCATTTCAGCCATAACTTAAAAAAAAAAAAAAATTGAGAGCAGATCTGTGATCATCCAAAATTTAGATAATCCCTTTAGCCTTGATCACAATAGCATTGTTGATTTGCTATCAAAGTTGAATAATTTATCATTATTCTTTTCTTTAAGTTTATTTATTTTGAGAGAGCAAGCAAGCACGGGAGGGAGAGAGAGAATCCCAAGCAGGCTCTGTGCTGTCAGCACAAAGCCTGACACCAGACTTGAACTCATAAACTGTGAGATCATGACCTGAACCTAAGCCAAGAGTCAGACACTTAACCAACTGAGCCGCCCAGGTGCCCCTTATTGTTCTTAATGGCAAGGTAACTTATAAAAAATCTCAGGTGAAGGCAAAACACATAAACAAAAGCCAGGAACAAATCCCAACTTTTCAAAGGCAAACTAAAGTATTTTTAAAGCACCAGAAACATTTTAGAAACATCGGGGTGCCTGGGTGGCTCAGTCAATAAAGTGTCTGACTTCGGCTCAGGTCATGATCTCATGGTTCGTGAGTCTGAGCCCTGCATCGGGCTCTATGCTGACAGCTCAGAGCCTGGAGCCTGTCTTTGGATTCTGCGTCTCCCTCTCTCTCTGTCCTTCCCCTGCTCACGCTGTCTCTCTTTCTCTCTCTCTCTCAAAAATAAATAAAACATAAAAAAAAATTTTTTTAAAGAAACATCATCTGTAATCTCATTCTGTGCCTCAACTATTAGGAGAGCATCAAAACTGCAAATATGGAGGGGAAAGGTTTTTTTCAGAAGTAGAGTTTTATTTATGCAAGAGTTCTATTCATCAGATAATAATTCTTATATTACCTGTGCAGAGTACCCATTGAAGAAGGAGTACCAGAAATGAACCAATGTAAATGCGAAGTTTTTGTAAAAGAAATATCGAAGGAACTTGCACATCCTTATGTAAGACCACCGGCCATGTACCAACAGCAGTCTCTGCAAGTATCTGAACTGGGCAAAGGAGTAGTCACTTGACATGACAGCTTGCATGCCTTCTTGTCCACTTATCCCAACACCAATGTGGGCAGCTGTGGGGCGGAGGGAGAAGATATGTGAATCATAAGCTAATTTTAAAGCAAAACATGGAGATGATAAAAATGTTTCCACAGCAAAACAAAGAAACAGACATTCTTGGAGCAATGAAAACTCTTGCTCACCAGCCCCGCCCCAGCTTCTGAACTCAACTTTATGTCAGAGATACAAGTGGCTAAAAAAAGCACAAGGCAAGGGCTCTGAGGAGTATTTGTGGAAGGATCTCAGGTGGGTGGTAAATTCCATTTGGGTTTTCTGCCCAGCTCATAAGCCATCCTTCCCACCCACGGAGGGAACCCAAGGAATCCATGCATATTGTGTGTCCCTGCCTCCCTGGCCACAGCTGAGTCAGCTCTGGGCTGGTAGGTCATCGGTAGCATATACAGATTGGCTCTCCGAACCTTCATGTCACCCTTGTTCTATTGGAAAGGTGGGAAAGCAAATAAAAACCTAACACCGCTCTGACTTCCTCGCAGCAAGATTCTATTTGTGAACTGGGTTCCATCGTTGAGGGCCACCTGGAGCCCAGCAGCCCTTCCCTTTGTGGCATTTCTGCAGTAGAGTTCATATCCTCTCTCCAGCTGCCTGGAGGTTGACGGACCAAAGTTTTTCAGCTGAAAAGCCCTTCACAGAAGCCTCAAAGTTAGAAGCTCCTCTGGTGCGTGACTAAGACATTCGAAGCTCAGCCTGGCACCTGCTGCTTCAGTCTATCCAGCGCTTTTGTGAGCACTTAGTCCCTTACATTAATCACTTCCTGCTTAAAGTACCCAGGGGGGTCTGTTTCTTATACTATCCTTGGCACAGAACCCAAGCTGGACCAATCCGTGTCTCTTTCACATTTTGGAACTAAGATTTGGGTTTGTGTTTGTCATTTTAACTTCTAAATTCTTGAGTTGTGGGACAGATATATTTATTTCCAAGGGGTTCTGAGAGGCAGAAGTACAGTGGTCTAGAAGGAGGATTGAACAGAAGCTGGGTTCCTGGTTCCAGCATCTTCCTGAGGTCTGGCTTTTTGGGAGGCATGAAACATCTTTAGATCTTTTAAAATAAATTTCTTTTTGTCTTAAGCTTGCATTAGCTGTTCTTTAATATTTACAATCAAAAGTGTTTTAATTAAGATACTAGTTTATATAGTATATGATAACTATAATATACTTAGTTAACTAAGATATTAAACTTCCAGCATTTGGTCATGGCCCACCGTGACCTTAAGAGACACATTTTTTTTTTTTCTTTTTTGGCTGCAGAAGGTTTCCAGAATGGATAAAAATGAAAGTGACAATTCTGTCCATCCTTCCAATAGTCACTTAGTCACAGTTTCAACTTAGCAAATTACGAATTTTATATAGGTCTTAAGAGGCATGGAACTAAAGACATACTGAGATCTGCTAGAGAATGTGTGTTGGAGAACATAACCTATTATTACTCAGACCCAGAGACGTGACTGCCAACTCAGCAGGGTTTCCAACTGAAAGCGGCTCCAAAAATCCTGCCTTAGTGGCAGAGTACAGGGTCTGGCAAATTCAAAGTGACACAGTGACTTGGCCAAACCTACGTTTTCAATAACACTTTGCGATTCTAAAAAATAGAATGAATTGCAGGTCTCATTCAATATTTATGACTTCTTTTTAAACACATAAATAATTCTTATGACTAGTCGTGGTTGCCAAACTGTGCTTTCCTGCCGAACCATGGGCTACTTTTCCGATCAAGCAACAAAGGGAGATGTTGAGGTTCTCTCGGAGCCAAGGAGAAGGAGCCCCTGATGTCCAGCCCAGCCTTTTTGCTGAGCACACCAAGGACAGCGTGTGAAAGAACACAGCCACAGTTCACAGGGGACTCAAGGCAACCGAGGAGATGTACTTTATAGGGCTACATGTTTTTTTCCCTATAATCTAAATATAGACACCTAGATTTTCCTGAAGTTTCAAAAATGTGGTTTCAGATGCCTCACTGGTAGGCTCCTTCATAGTTCCTTAACAGACGCATCATTGCCTCAAGCCTTTGTGGCTCTGTCTCCCCTCTCGTGCTTCTTGCTTATTCTTAGGGTCTTAGACCAAGAAAAAACACCACCCACCAGCCAGCAGACATCTTCAGGCCCAAGAGAGGGAGACAGGGGAGCCCATGAGAGTCCTTGCGTCCTTGCTAGAGGCAAAAACATGGGGGGGGGGGGGTTGCAGTTCCCTCCACTTCTACTAAATGTGGAACATGCTAACAAATGGCCAAGTTTTTCTGACACTTAAATTTTACTGTATTTCTTTAGAAACAAATATAATTTCTGTATATTGTATTTTATACAGGTGAAAGCAATGCCAGTTTTTCTAAAATACAAAAAGGCACTATCAATACTTGGGTAAAGCTATGGACTTCCAGGGACACCTGAGTTTCTTTGATTTGCACCCCAGATGGATGTTCCCTGTTATATATAAAAGCACCGACCATATAACAGAGCTTAATAAAATTCTTAGAACAACTTAAGAAAACAAGTCTCTATAAGGTTACTTATGTTGACTTTGTGATCCCTTTTGCTATCAATTGGTAAACTCCTTGGAACAAAAAAAATTTCAAGTCTAAGTCACCTAGTCAGATGGTAAATTTGCAAGGTAACCCTCTCTCCAACATCTAGAAGTCTCCATTGTAACTGAGTAAAACTAATGTTTGAGTTACTTGCCCTTTTGGCACAGCTATTTATGCTAAGGGTACACAATGGAAAATAACCTAGAACTGGCTGTAGAGAAAAGAGACTGATGTAATTTGGGGCAAGAAATGCCAGTCGTATGGTAGGATTGGCACATGCAAAACACCCTGGAGAAGAAATTAAACCAGCAGTGGCCACAGACACACATGATAAAGAAGCAAGAAGACATACATCATATAGCTGACTCCTGCCGAGGAAGATAAAGTTGGAATATTCTTAGTATAGATCGAGGAGGAGGAAGAGACTCTAAGAAAAGAAAGAGACACATGAATTACAAAACAGGCTTGAATTAAAAGTCTAGTTGTACATAATGCATTTTAGTTCTCTAGTAGAACATACGTGGTTATGTCATAGTTTGAACTAATAATATCACAAAACTGGAAGTGACCTCAGAAATCATAATTTTCAGATGAGAAAATTGAGGCCGGAGCATAAGCCCAAGGCAACACGGCATGTTGGTGGAATGAAAACGAGCATTCACAGCTCACTAGTTGGGGCGTTTTCATTACAAGATGCTCCCTGACAATAACACAGGGAGGAAAAACCACCCAGGACTCAGGCGTGTTGATGAAGCTTCGGTTCTGCATGCTCTAACACTGGCACAATGTATTTCTGCGTGACAGGGCTCAGTTCTTCAATTTGTGAAGACGTAAAGCCCTCCCACCAGCGAAACGACCCTTGGCAGTCTCCTTGCAAGGTCAAGAGGATGGCAAGGCCATGTTAGAGTTGTGTTTCAATGCCACATGTGCTCCCTTGGGCTCATACGAGGTCACCCAATTTCCCAAAGGCAAGAAGAAAGCCCCAGAAAAAAAGATGCTGAGATAAGAAAGCAAAATACTCTCAAATACTAAAGAGAATTCAACAATTTACTCCGCGCTCAGCAGAAATTTTCACCAAGCTTACTAAATAGGATTCTAATAAGCCTTAAGGAAATAGAGGAGAAGCAGTAAGCGAGGGAAAACAAAACAAATCCACATGTGTGTAAAAGAGGGAAACAGGAGACCAAATTCACTCATGTGGAGCTCATCTTCTCTTTGGCATCCTCTGAGCGGCACTGTCCTACCTGCTCTCTCCTACTGGGGTAGACTGAGCTTCCTCAGGGCAGGGTCACAGGTGTCATCATCGTGGTTACCTGCCTTTATCAGCTGCTTTCTCGGAGCCTGAGCTACGGGATTTGGAACTACTACCCTCGGAAACATTCCTGCCTTTCCTTCTCTAAAGCAGTTCAGGTGGCATCGGCCCTGGGTGAGACTCACTTTTGATCATGTTTACATCATTGGCCCCGTCTCCAATCGCCAGCGTGATGGCTTTCTTGTACCTCTTCACCAGGTCCACCACCATTGCCTTCTGCTTGGGGGTGACCCGGCAGCAGATGACTGCACTGCACTCACAGGCCAGGTCTACAAAGTTCTTCTGCCTCTGCTCTTTCCTGGCTTCCAGACGCCTTTTACTCTGCGTCCGCATCCGTCTTTCTTCTTCCGTCCTCGGGAACTTCAGCTTCAGAATCTTACTTCTCTTGGTCTTTTTCTCCAGAAGAATTTCATTCTGTGAGTTTAGAGAGGGAGAGGATTACAACCATCTTAGTTTTTATCTCGAGGGTACCATTTCCAAGACTTTAATCGTGTGGAGGATGGTTCTTGGGTTATCTCATGGATGATACTGTTCTGATTATAAAACCTACTTACCATGGAAATTTAGAAAACACAAATGTACAAAGAAAAAGAAATTACAATTATTCATTGATTGATAAACCAGGGCTATCCACCGTTACCAGTCTGATGGATTTCCTTTCATGTATCATATAGGAAGTCTCACACTTGGGAAATTGCCGCTCATTCACAGGCCAAGAGATTTTTAGGCTGTCAGTTTGTATGAGAAACCATCTCAGATCAGTCCACAACGAACTGCTGTAGTTTAAGGCAAAGGCACACACAGATACAGTAAAGATACGCACCAACCAAGAACCAGTGATTATTAAAGCACGACTTTCACCAGGTGGAAAAAAAGGTTCGTGCACGGGGGGTACAAACTTTGCATAGACTCCACCTCTGTTCCTCTGGTTTTCCATCCTTGTGTGAAGAAGAGCACTGGGGGGGGGGGGAAAGAAATTTAAGTGTTTAAGAGCACAAGACTATAAATGGGCCCTTGACTGTGAAGTACTTTTGACATATAATCTCTATTTTTATTTGTGTTTAAAAAAAAAAAACCATGTAAAATTTATCATCTCACCTATTTCTACAGTTCAGTAGTATTAAGTGTATTCACACTGCTTTGTAACCAATCTCCAGAACTTTTTCATCTTGCCAAACTGAAACTCTATACCAGTTAAGTGACCCCCTTCCCCTAGTCCCTGGTAACTACTGCTTTATTTTCTGTTTCTATGAATTTGAACACTATAAGAGAACTCCTATAAGTGGAATCATACAGTACTTGTTTTTTTTTTTTTTTTTTTGCGATTGGCTTATCTCCCTGTCCTCGAGATTCATTTGCTATTATAGCACATGTCAGAATTTCCTTCCTCTTTAATAATATTCCAGCGTATGGATATACTACATTTTGTTTGTCCATTCATCCATCGGTGGACGTTTGGGTTGCTTCTGCTTCTTGGCTATTGTGAATAGTGCTGCTATGGACGTGGGTGTGCAGATATGTCTTTTGAGTTCTGGCTTTCAATGCTTTGGGATATATACCCACAAGTGGGATTGCTGGATCATATGGTAATTCTCTTTTTAACTATTTTGAGGAGCCACCGTACTGTTTTCCATAGCAGCTACACCATTTTCTTTCCCACCAACAGTGCACAAGGACTCCAATTTTCACATGCTTGCCCATACTTGTTATTTTCTGGTTTTGTTTGTTTGTTTGATAGGAGCCATCCTGAAAGGGTGTGAGGTGATAACTTATTCTGGTTTTAACTTGCAGTTCCTTAATGTCTGAGTATCATTTCATATGCTTGAGTGTATGAGTGAGCATCATTTCATATGCTTGTTGGCTGTTGGTATATCCTCTTTGGAGAAAAGTCTATTCAAATCCTTAGCCCACTTTTAAATCAGGTGACATAATCTTATTTAAGTCCTAATTCCTCCCTCACGGGGCACCCTGTTCTTGGTGTTCCATTATTTGCCAAAGACAGCTAAAGGAAGATACAATTGAAAATATGCTCAGGACCAACAGAAGGAAGGCAATCTTGATCTGAATTATTATACCTGGGTATATAGTGTATTATAATTTATAATACAGTGTATTATAAACAGTGGCTGCTATTTGGCAAAAAGAAGCTTACTTCCACATAAAGTTATGTTTGCTTTTGAGAAATTCTCAGTGCTTTGTATCAAAAAGTAATTGAGAAGACCACATGTAACACATTCATGTGATAGAAAAATTGGTCACGGAATTTTAGAGTGGAAGCCTCCATGAACATCTTATCCAAACTCTTCGTGTTACACATAAGGAAGTGCAAGCCCATGAGAGAGGATGCGATTCACCTGGTGTAAGTTGATAGGCAAAGGGATTGAAGACTCAGGTCTCCTTACTCTCAGCCCACAGCTTTCCTTGTTACACACAGCCACCATTCTCCACCTTCAAGAGCAAGTTTCTCAACCTTAGCACTATTGATGTCTTGGGCCAGGTAATACTTTGTTGTATGTGGCTGACTATTGCCCTGTAGGATATTCAACAGCATCCCTGGTCTCTACCTATTAGAAGCCAGTAGTACCTCTCCTTCCTTCCATATTAAAACAACCAAAGATTCATGATGTCTGGAAACATTGAGAAATGGCTGCACCAGAATGTTAATATCTCAGCATAATTTAAGCAGGGGCACTGAGTGCAAAGTAGAAATAGCAAGATCGTTAACTCCCAACAAGATAATCAACACATAATAGAACAGATTAGGGTTGTTGTTTTCACAGAGCAAGGAAATTTATACCCTCAAGTGGAAAAAGTTGTAATGTGGAATTGAATAGAGGGGCTAAGTATGGAAAAGAAGCCTCCTCTTGAGTCTTTCAGGCTAAGCTCAGTGTCAACTGTGAGACTGCCACATTTCCCTGCAAGGCAAAACCACCCCCAGTTGAGAACCACTACACTAGAGGATTAGGTATTTTTTATTCTTTTTTCCACATTAATTTCTCATTTTCAAGTTGAAAATAAGGAGTGATGAAGACAAATCACTGAAAGAAAAAAAGCATGAAGTTACCCATTCAAACCATTCTATAGAAATCATCCTTTTAGGAACCACCTAGAGAGATAGATGGTTCAGCCCTCTAGAAAGGTTAACTTAGCTAAGAGCATGATCATAAAATTTGCTACTTGCATAAATTTTATCTTCTAATTTAGCTCAGGGCCCAATTTTCAACACTTTAGAAAGAGAGACCAGAAATCTATTAGGGCCCCCGTCTACAAGAAATAAAACCTTCTGGCAATTAACCAAAGTATTTGAAACCAAGAAACTACTTAAGTAAACATGTTACTATTTATTTGTTGCTATTTTTTAAAAGCTGAAAGCACCAAGAGGCATGGTTTATGCATTCAAACAGAACTGATGGATGTAGATTTTAGAGCCGCTGATTTTGTGTGTCTAATTTAGGCCTAGTGCCCAATATACTGGAACAACTCGTGAAAGCTCTGTCACCATCATTGGAAACAAGACTAACGACCTCCATCGACTCCCTCCAGCCTCTTACCAAATGAGGCAAGTTCACAGCTTTTGGCCTCATGACAGCCTGGAGGAGGGGTCGTAAGGCAAGGACTTGAGGAATAAATAAAACTGTCAAGATAGCACCACCGCGTAACTTCTGCCGCACGTTTCTGGCTTTACCACCAGGCGGGGCTTCTCCTTACACGTTTCCAGGTCTCCTGTGACTCTGGGCTCTCGAGTGTTTCAGGACAGGCTACGCTTCGAAATATCCTACCCCATCCAGACGAGACTAGAGGTGTGTCCTATCCACCCGTTTCCTTCCAAGCAAAATTGTGCGGTTTCTTTCCTTCTGTTTGTTTCTTACAAAATTACAATTCCTTGAAAAGGCAGCACTCCAGCATTAGTTGGCTGGTGATGTCTCAGGCTCACTTTTTTTTTTTTTTTTTTTAATCAGCAGGCAAGCACTGAGGACTTTTAAGAAATGCAGAGAAATGGCCCCTGAAAGGGTGAAGAAGGGCCTCAAGTTCCCCTAACACTAAAACTTGCTCAAAAGGAGATCCAGCCATGATAACCTGGAACTACCTGTGTTCTCTTGCCTTATTTAAATGTGAGGAAAACTGTCTGAATTGACATTCTCGCTCCCATTTCTCCGTATTTGCTGTGTCTACCACATCTAGATTTGCCTTTACTTACTTGATATCTTCCCCATAGCAGATAGTCATGTCTTCAGTCAGGAGTTCACAAGCAAATCCTATATTTTCAGCAGTTTCTACAACAGAAAGAAAAAAAAACAAAAACCAAACTAGGTGTTGGGGTGCGGTTTAGGTCATGATCTCTTGGTTCGTGGGTTCGAGCCCCACATCAGGCTTTGTGCTGACAGTACAGAGCCTGCTTGGGATTCTCTCTCTGTCTCTCTCTCTGTCTCTCTCTCTGTCTCTCTCTCTCTCTCTCTCTCTGTCCTTCTCCCACTAACACGTGCTCTCTCTTAAAATAAATAAACTTAAAAAAAAAAACACTAAGTGTTGTGCCTATTGATGAATAGTTGACTATCTAGTAATAAGCATTTTTTTTTCAAGTAACAGCCAGATGCAATCAAATATGGTGAGTTTTTTTTTTTTCAGTAGCAATGTATATACACAAAAGGGGGGCAAAAGCCTTTTTTCTGTGATAAAATAAATAGAACTCAAAGTCTGGTTTGAGAAGTTTTCAATTATAAAATGTACTCTATTATCAAATATATAAATATACAAACTGATTAACAAATCAATGTTCATTGAATTACTAAGCACATTCAGTTCATGTGGCTTAATCATTCTGTTATGGAAAAAAAAGATAATTATTTCCATAAACCCTCACATGGGGCCCCTACTGGAGACTTTTCCCCTTTTCCCATCACCACCCACTGTTATTTGTTTAAGGTCAGGACTTCCCTTAGCTTATCAGAGTGTGTAACTCACAAATGATGTCAGAGTAAGAGAAATTATCTGGTTTCCGTGAGAGGCTTGTAGAAGGGTATCAATGCCAAATAATGCCTTGTTGAGCTCTAAATTTAAAAATTCAAATCATCCCTTGGGGCACCTGGGTGGCTCAGTCGGTTAAGCGTCCAACTTCCACTCAGGTCAGGATCTCGCGGTCTGCGAATTCGAGCCCCGCGTCGGGCTCTGGGCTGACAGCTCAGAGCCTGGAGCTGCTTCGGATTCTGTGTCTCCCTCTCTCTCTGACCCTCCCCCGTTCATGCTCTCTCTCTCTCTGTCTCAAAAATAAATAAACATTAAAAAAAAATTAAAAAAAAATTCAAATCATCCCTTGGGTGTAAAATTTTAATTATAGTTTTCAGGCAATAAAATGGGTAAAAAAAGCAAAAGTTATTACTCAGCAGTTTGTATTATGTTCTGCTCTGTGCCCAACAAATGACAAAGGGACCAAAGGGATGGTCCTTTCACGAGAGGAGTTCACGTCTGGCTGGAAAGATCAGACTGACCACACAGTTAAAATGGCCTGATCAGGAGGTCAAGTAGAAGAAATAAAACTCTGCTACCGAGGGAGTTTCTGGAAGGATGCTGCCAGCGTGAGCTGGAATAACGGAGAAGGGTTTCTTAAAGAAAGCATCTCTGTCTCAAAGGAATGGACCGTATTTGTGCAGGATGGAAAGTCTGAGAAAATCATCTTGGGCAAGGGATACAGGAACTACGAACGCTTAATGAATTAACAGATACGCCTCCCCGCAAACTGAATTACCCTTTTTGTCTCCAGTGAGCACCCAGATCTTGATGTCAGCTTTTGCAAGTTTTGAAATGGTTTCTGGGACTCCATCCTGTAACTTGTCTTCAATAGCTGTGGCTCCCAGTAGCTGGAATGTACATTTCAAAAAAAAAAGGAATTAGCAAAATAAGCTCAAAATGTTCTGTAATTGCAGTTTGCCAGCCTACAATAAGCAGAATGGCTAATTATATACCCCGATTGGCGCTCTACTGGGGCTGGTGGCCAGTAATAACAGCAGGGGTGGCTGCGGTTCATACCGAAAAATAAAACATTCAAGCCCTTTTCGCTTAAAGTAGTTTACCAAGGTAAAAATGTAAGTACAAAATCAAGGATGTTAAAAATATACTTTCGTTACATACAGGCTATTTTACGTGGACACAAGCCACTTCCTCTCCCTGAAGGTCAATACTAGCTATTTCCTTCTAATCTAAATTCTACAGGTGATAGGTATTAAACTTTGAGAAATTTCATTTACAAATGGTATCATTTTCTTGTTTCGAGGTTTTACAAGATACAAATCAGTCCAGTAATTCTCAAAGTGTAATAAAACATATGATTTGTCATCGTGTAAAAATCATAATGAATTATAATAAGCGAGATAAAAAATACCAGAATCAGATTGGAAGCTCAATGTTTTCTTTCCTTTGTTTTCTTATAGTGGCAACTTCTGTCTCGCTCACTGGACAGAAGAAATTCAAGTGACCTAGTTCCTTTGCACCAATTTGAAATGCTGAAGTTAGAATTATCTTTCAAGCATGAGAATAAAAATATGACAGAACTCCAGGCACCTGGGTGGCGCAGTCGGTTAAGCGTCCGACTTCAGCCAGGTCACGATCTCGCGGTCCGGGAGTTCGAGCCCCGCGTCAGGCTCTGGGCTGATGGCTCAGAGCCTGGAGCCTGTTTCCGATTCTGTGTCTCCCTCTCTCTCTGCCCCTCCCCCGTTCATGCTCTGTCTCTCTCTGTCCCAAAAATAAATAAACGTTGGAAAAAAAATTAAAAAAAAAATATGACAGAACTTAGTAAAATGTCCAGTTCTGTTTAGAATAGCAAGTCATGAAGGTTAAAACTCACAATTAAGTCCTTTTCAATCTCCTCATACACTTTATCCAGAGCTTCATCCCGGTTGGTTGAGGCTATACTGGCAGCCATAAACTTTTTATTCCATTCTTCAAATTCTTTTTCTTCAATTTCCTTGTAGCAAAGGCACAGAGTTCTAAGAGTCTCACTTGCAAAGATCTATTTAAAAGATCAGCCACCCAACAAAGACAAGTTAATTTTATGTAACTCAAGATCCAGTTTGAAATCTTTCTTTGAAGTAAAACAGTACGCGCGTTTAAAAAGAGGTCATGAAAGATAATGGACTCTGAATAAAAACATTCTGTAGAGGAGATTAAACAAATACTTTGTTTTTCACTTTAAGTATTCTCAGGGTCCTATTTGTAGTTCCCAAATTAGTTAAAGAGAAAGGTATACATTTCCTCTAAATCAAGTCACTAGAGAGAAGAAAACTCTTTCTCGTAACCACACAGAAAATAACAGACAAGGGAGCTGCCTTGGGGTGTGATGATGTTGTAAACACAGGCCTGACAACTTTATAATTTGTTCCCACAAACTGTTACAAGCCCAATCAACTGTGGACTCTCGACCAAGCATTATATCCTCAAACCAGCTCGGAAATACCTGAGCCACCGTTAAAGCTGTGGTAAAACATTTTAACGAAAAAGAGTGGCTGGAAATTTTAATCATGGTGAACAGATTTAAGCTATTTTATTTTTTTTAATGTTTATTTATTCTGAGAGAGAGAGAGAGTGCGAATGGGTGAGAGGCAGAGAGAAGGAGAGAGAGAATCCCAAGTAGTCTCCATGCCATCAGCGCAGAGCGACTCAGGGCTGGATCTCATGAACTGGGAGATCATGACGTGAGCCAAAATCAAGAGTCAGACGCTTAACCTGCTGAGCCACCCAGGCGCCCCTAAGCTATTTTAAACAGTTTAAATATGAGCCAGTAAAAATGTTTTTAGTACTTCAGTCACATCTTGTTCCAACGCATCACGCAACTAAGTGTTTGCTTTCAAAGATTCTTTGGAAGGTTCTGCATCTGTTTGATTAAATTGCCAGTGTTCATATCCTCATGAGAAATGATCTATCGTAACTGCTTCAACCACCTATCAATCTTAAAACGAGACCCCCGTAAGTAAACAACATATACAGGCTTCTTCCTCAAGGACCTTTGACTGGCCCCAAACTCGACCAGACCCAGGGAAGAAATCACCCTTTACTAAGCACTTACTAAATCCTGGGAATTGTGCAAGATCTTTCCCTTGCAAGGACTCTCTTTGGTAGGAATTACCCTCTTCCTCTTTCACACAGGTCATTAATGCTTCAGCTAGGCGTCAACTGTTTCCCCCAAGGACACAAAACAGGCGAAGAGGCAGAACTGGGATACCAGGTCTGATGGGTATCCTCCATACTTCATTGCCATCATTAATAGAACCAAAACCATGTGAGGATTGGTAAGCAATTCCAAGAGAGAAATTTCCAGAAGCATTCTGAATAACTGCAGTATCATTGGACTAAGTTCACATTCCCCTTAGATAACAAATTTGAAGTAATGAAGACCAAACTGATTTACTAACAAAGGTAGAACTCAGTTATCCGACGCATTGCTTTGTCACACCCCATCCTACATGAATGCTTTCTTTCCTTCATTGTCCCTTAAGAGGTTGGTGGGATTCTTGGAGGCCACACAGATACTAAGGCTACAGCTCACTATAGTTACGTGGCTTGCTCAAGGTCACTGGAAGACAGACCAGTCATTCCCCCGGGCCCGTCCTACAGATGCTGCCAACCGGGATGCCGGGAAAGAACACCATGGTCATGTCCTAGGAAGTCAGCAGCAGGGGCAGAACCAGAACACGGCTGCCATTTTTCCTACATTGGTGCTCTTTCCACACAACTGCACTAAGACAACAGAAGGGTCAACAGTTCACACAGAGCTTTCATTTCAGCTCACAAGACAGTATCAGAAAGGAAGTTTGCAATCTGCGGCAGAAAGGGTGACGGTGGGACTTACATCCAGGGCATCCTGTGTCTCTTGTTTTGTTGGATTCATCTGATGTAACCGTTCATAAATCACTGTGTCAGCGCCTTTGCAATAAAGCCTGATGTTGCCTTCTGGGGTTCTTACTAGTAGTAAGAGAAGGAAAAGCAAATCATAAAGTTAGCTTTGACTTCTTAATAGAAAACTACATTTCTAAAGTTGATTTGAAGGGTGACTCTGCTAATAATTCACCATTAGTTTAAAATCATAAATGCACCTAGAAAAACTTCCCTCTCAGCAAAGTTGGTAAGCCACTATCTACATACAATGAAATATAGTGAAATAAATATGAAAAGAATGCTGTAGTCAGCTTAGCTTTTCCTATCCTTACTTATTCTCTCAGCAAATATTGACTGATTCCCTACTATGTGCCATGCCCTGTGCTAATATCTTCTATAATGCCTTCTTTGTCCATGCTATAGGAATCTTTCTTACCTATAAACCTGGGACGCTTACTGCCTTTAATACTCAGACCAGAACATGACTCCTTGTGACCATTTTCTTGGATTTTTGGATCTGTGAGATAATTTAATGATAGTACGTGCCTCAGAGCTAACTTGATTTTGAGTTCAAGGTAAATGCCAGACATGATAATCGGCCTAGATCAGTGCTAGGCATACAGAAAGCACTCAGTAAAATGTGCCCAGAGTTCAGTAGACAGTTGAACTTGTATATTTTTCTTGGTGAAAAACTCAATCTCATAGTGGAGAAATCTCATGAACACTTTCTGAGCAATCAAACCTAACATCACGAATAACCCTGTGCTTCCAGATGTGATATGCTGGGAGGACACAGCACCAATCCACGCACCCTTCCTGCCAACGATGCGTAACTTGAATTCAGTCATGAGGGAATATCGGACAGATCCATTTCTCCGTATATATATATATATAACAGTTTCCCCATATGGAGACCAAAGTTAACAATCACCTACTGCAGTATGCAATCTTGGGTCTTGAACCAAGAAGGAAGGAAGAAAGAAAGGGAGGGAGGGAGGCAGGGAAAAGAAAATTTCTGGTAAAATCTGAAAACATCCTGCAGATTAGATAATAATATTGTCTCACACTGAATTTTCTGATTCTGATCATCGTATTTACATATAAGTGAATGTTCTTGTTCATAGGAAATACCTACTTAGGTATTTAGGGGAAAGGAGCCTTAGCTCTGCAATTTACTCTCCGATGGCTCGGGAAACAAGAATCTGTATATGACGAAAATGACAACACATGGCCAATGCCAACAGTCGAGTTAGAGAATACAAGAGTTCTCTAAACCATTTTTGCAATTTTTCTGTAAATTTGAAGTTGTTTCTAATTGTGAACTTAAAAATTTCAATATTGGGAAGCCACGGTGAATGGCAGCCTGCCCTGGAGATTCACTTCTGCTCCATCAGCACAGCCTTGCTTTCCTCTGAACCCCTGTCCTGCTGCTTCTCCCTTCCCTGCCGCCAAGTGTAGGGCAGACAGGCTCGGACGGCCTCACAAAACCAAAGCACGTGTTATGGACGCACCACCCACTGTTACCACCGAAGGTTCTGCAGCCTGCAGCCGCAGCTCACATTGCTGAAGAATGTCAACATTTGCAAGACTCAAGATAAACTGCCATTGTCCCCGTGAGTGATGGACCCCATGCAGAATAAAGGGAAAAAAGGTGTTTCAAGAAGTCCATGGAAATCTCCCAGGAGCTGAGTGGTCCCTCCATCGCCTGTTTTATTCTGGTGCCATGAAATCAAATGCATAAAAGGCAACCTCTCAATGAGCGATTTGCAGACACACTCTTGAGGGAAACCTACCAATTATAGACATTCGCTTCCGGTCACTGTTGAAGTCCAAAATGGCAAGAACACTGTAGGTCCTCTCGGTCCCCAATTCACTGATGGTGATCGTGTTCTGGGTCCTGGCGAGAAAGGCAAATCCAAAGTTCCTGGCAGCGCTCACCAGAGCGCCTTCGTCAGGAGAGGCCGCCTGGTAGTTGAGCTGACCTAACAAAGGAGGCAGGAGAGAAAACCAGAAAATCTGTAAAAACCAGACGGAGGGCTCACTGTTGAGGCTCACACGGGGGGCAAGGATGTCTCACAAAGCCCAACACATCCCCAAGAAAACAAATCATTGATTCTTAAAGAGTATGCCAACATTAACACTTTTCTTTTTCTCTTTGTTTTAACGTTTATTTATTTTTGAGAGAGAGAGAGAGAGAGAGACAGAGTGCGAGCAGGGAAGGGGCAGAGAGAGAGGGAGAGAGGGAGACACAGAATCTGAAGCAGGCTCCAGGCTCCGAGCTGTCAGCACAGAGCCTGATGCGGGGCTGGAACCCATGAACAGCAAGATCACGACCTGAGGCGAAGTCGGACGCTTAACCAAATGAACCACCGGGGCGCCCCAACACTTTTCAAACTTTATGGTTTTATTTCTAATTACAAACAGTAATATAAACCAGAGGAAAAGAAGACAAGTGTCCAGGAATAGGAAAACAAATTCCCAGACTGCCACCATCCAGAGGAAACACAGAGCCACTGGCATGCTCTTATCATTCTTTCCGGTCCTTTCGAAAATGCCGAATTAGGTAATGGTTTCTATCATACGTTTACATTCTTGTTATTTTGACCCAATATTCTGAGCATGTTGACATAACTTTAAAAATTCTTTCTAAACATTATTTTAATGAATGTAAACACGTCCCCATTTTTCCAATTATACGCACTTAGGCTATTTCCAAATTTTCTGCTCTCAAAAATAACATTGTAGTGACCATTTTGCAGGTGTATAAAGGTTTGACTGACTGTTTTCTAAGGATAAGTGATAATACTGAGCTAAACAAAACTGGTAATTTTGGGGGCACCTGACTGGCTCAGTCGGAAAAGCATGTGACTCTTGAATTTGAGGTCGAGAGTTCGAGCCCCACATTGGGCATAGAGATTACTTAAATAAGTAAAACATAAAGAGAGAGAATACTGATTTTTTTCAAGTCTATTGGTATATATCAGTCATTTGTTTTCCAAAAGGGTTGTATACTTTATCTTTGCTCTGGAAGAGTGTACTTTCTTCAGCATAGCCATATTAAAATAAAACCTCAACATTCATCAGTCTGTTCAACCTCTTGATGTTTAAAGTCAATTAATGGGAAGCTGCCTTCTCTTCACAAGGACGCTTCAACAACTGGAATAAATGTCACAACGTTGAGTGAAAGAAGCCAGACACGCAAGTCCACACTGCGTGATTCCATCTACACAGACCACGAAACCGACGAAGCGTCCCTGTGCTATTCCAGGTCAGGACTAGTGCCCCTCGAGGGGCAATGACTGGAAGGGAACACCAGGGGACTTCTGGGGGATTCATAACGGTCGGTTTTTTAAAATCTGGGTGCTCGTGACATGGGAGGATTCAGTTTGTGAAAACCTCCTGAGCTACATGCTGGGCTCCGTGCACCTGTTGTACTCCAGTAAAAAGTTGAAAAAGATTTTCCGTTTTTCTACTTTCGTTATTCTGCTTCAAAGCAGAAGGAAAAGTACTTCCACGGTCAGGTGAATGTTTACAGAAAAAAGGCATTTCCTTTTCCACCACGGTTTGAGCAGGAAGCAGACCATGGATGGATGGGCAGCTTTTGAAAACATCAGGCTACACAGAAGGAGAGGATGCTCCTGGGGGAATCGGCTATAGGGAGGGCTGTACCCCCGCACGCCTGCTCAGATGGCTCACTCCAAGTCAGTATCAATCAATTCCCAATTAGTAATTAAAGAGGACACTGTAGGTTGTTTTCTGCTCACCCAGAAAGGCATACATCAGAAGTTACGAATGTACACGCCAAATCCATCCATTTCCTCAAGCACACATGGCTGCCAGAGGGCAAACTATTTTTTTAATGTTTATTTTGAGAGAGAGGGAGGGAGGGAGGGAGGGAGGGAGAGAGTGCAAGTGGAGGAAAGGCTGAGAGAGAGAATCCCAAGAAGGCTCCAACTCAGGGCTCCATCCCATGAGCTCGAGACCACGACCTGAGCCGAAATCAAGAGGAGGACGCTCAACCAACTGAGCTGCCCAGGAGCCCCGGGAACTGAACAAGCAGCAGTGGGGACACAACCTCTTCAGCAAGTGTAGCTGGCACAGTGATCTCCCCGCGTCATGCTGACGGCAAGCTTACTTCCAACAGAAAAAGAGCGACGAAATGATAAAAGGTGGTAAAGTTCCCATGACTGAGACAATCATATCTGGAGCAAACACTGATATTGTTATCATGACCAAAAAAACCCCCTAAAAAACCCTCCCACTTGGTTCGAGCAATAGAGTCACAGAATTGCAGGCTAATGGAGACAGGAAGAAATTCAGAGAGCTGGTCCAAACTCCAACTTGATGTTTGCAGGAAGAAACCAGGACTAAAAAATAATCCTCTGCAGTCATTTCTGGCGAGAACCCTTTTATTTACTCTACACTCAGAGGCAATCAGAGAGGCATTGTTTTCTTTCATAAACTAATTTGCGGAGCAGGAAAACAGCGCCAATGAAAAAAGATGCTCAAACCGCAAATCCCATCTCTGGTGATTCTGACACCGTAGCTTCCTGTGGCAGATACGAGCCCACCCCCTGGTCACCTGCCCTGAAACAAGTTACCTCTCAGACCACTCCTTCCCCTCAACAATCTCACCCCCTTCAAGTCACACGCTGAATGCCCTCCCCACCCCCCCCCCATCTATGGCTTCCTCATCCTTCCCAAAGACCCCACCATAATCCAGACCCTCAGCTTCCAACCCAGTCTCCTTTGTCTCCAGGCTCTCGCCTCCTCAACACCACCTCTAATCACAGCACATCCTGACTTAATGACCTGCAGGTGAAGAAGAGGTCCCCAAGCCTTCCACACCCTGCTCTCACACAGCCTCTGCAGGAGGTAGGAATCAAAGAGGGCCCCAAGGACCCTTCCCGGGGGGGGGGGGGGGCCCAGGGTAGCAGCACCTCCTTCCAGTTATTCAAAATGCTGGGAAGGGATCTTGCAGATGTAACGAAGGCCCAAATCAGTTGACCTCAAGACAGGGTGATTATCTGAGTGTTCCCAACCTAATTAGGTGAGTCCTTAAAGACACAGGGCTTTTCCTAGGGAGAGAGCTTCAAAGCATATAAGGGGTTCCACGGAAGAGGGATTCTCTCTTGCTGGCTTTGAAGATGGAGGGGGCCACGTGGCCAGGAAGAAGAGAGGCCTCGGTCCTTCAGCTGCGGAGAACTGAATCCTGCGCTCCCACGTGAGCTTGGAGGAGGACCCCGAGCTCCAGAAGAGAACGTGACCGACCTTGATTTTGGGGAGATCTTGCGCAGAGAACCCTGTCATGCGTGCCCAGGCTTCCGACCTAGGGAACAATGAGCTAAAGAATGGGTGTCTTCAGCTACTGAGTTGTGGAAATTCAACAGAAACCCAATGCCTCCTCTCCACACTTTGCCCCCATGGGCCTCCATGGGGACTCAGCACTCGGGCCACACACACTGTCTGCTCCACTAGGCAGATGTGTATGGCAACAGATATGAAAGGATTTCCTCCCTTCTCCTGTCGATGTTATGCGTAATAAAAGACTGACCAGTCTCCGTTAGTCTTACAAAGAGAGAGAAAACACAGGAGCAAGGCGCCCCACCCCAGGGATTGCAAGGGGATCCCACCGGAAGGGATTCTGACCTGCTGTCTGAGTCACACAGGTCCTTGTACCTTCTGGGGTCTGAATGTCCTTATCTATCATACCTGGAGGAGGGGTTCCTAAGGTCTTTCCAAGAGACCCTTTCAAGGTACTTCATGTATCAAAACCAATTTCTCTTTTAACCTCCTCCCACTAGAGATCAAGCTGTTCTCCATTCATAGTGGCTAGAGCAATGGCCCATCACATGCTGTGTGAGAGAAGTTTCCTCAGGAGGTACAATTCTCTGCCTCAGCAGACAGTGGGACAGAGACCAGCACAACGTGAGGTTGAAAGGAACCTTGAATTCCAACCTTCTGCTCGCAACACTGAGGAAGTTGATGCTTGGACCGAAGATCCTGGTCTACACTGGGTGCTCCGGTAGGAACCAAAGCTGGGCTGGCCCATCTCCAGCCGAATAGGGCTCTTCCCATAATATCCCAGTGAAAAGAAGAGAAAATAGAGACCATAGAATTATATTTGCCTAAGTTGGCTGGTTAGCTCTCAAAATGCCACCCCCCCACACACATACACAAAAGGATGAATAATTTCACTAATGAGTCAAGACCTAAAATAACCAAGTTGCTCAGAAAGATCATGCTTGATTCTTATCGTATGAGTAAAACGTGGTTGTCTAGAAAACAGACTTTGACCTCTACATGAGTTATTCATGACCTGGCATGTCTGTCTTCCTCCACTTTGGCTGCTAATAACCTTCCATGTATCTACCCCAATTTGAATTCCACTGTCATCTTGCTTTATTGGACCATTATGCCCATGCTTAAAATGGATTTCTTTGAAATTTGCTGAAAGATAGCACATAGAGGTTTTACACATTCAGTTTTTCTGCGTATTCCCCCTCTGGAGATTTTGCACTTGCCACACACAAAAGCTCAGGGGCAGAAAACAGAAAGGCACCTTCCTGTGCTGCACTCACTCAAGTGCAGGATGGGCAGGCAGCCTGCGCTTCCCTGCAGAAATGCCAAAAGTGTTCCATTTCCTCTTTCTATAACGCACAGGTGTGTAACTTAGTGTAATGTCCATATGTGAAAAAATGGCTTTCACGGACATCGGACAAATTTGCTATAACAAAGCTGGCACGAGCTGTGTTTAAGAACTCTGCAAAGGAGGGGCACCTGGGTGGCTCAGTCGGTTAAGCATCCAACTCTCGATTTCGGCTCAGGTCATGATCTCACGATTCGTGAGATCAAGCCCCACCTCAGGCTCCATGCTGCTAGCATGGAGCCTGCTTGGGATTCTCCCTCTCCCTCTCTCTCTGCCCCTCCCTTGCTCACTCTCTGTGTCTCTCAAAATATATAAATAAGCATTTTTTAAAAAAGAATCTACACGTCACACGTCAGCTTTGCTGGTTCCCATGCAAATACACGTTAATTATGCTCCTTCCGATGAAAAAGGCACCTTAAGGAAGCCGAGGCCCTGGCGGGTATTATTTCAAACCCCAAACATATCTGAATCTAGAAAATAAATTCTCTCTGAAATTATTTTGCAGTAAAGATTGTTCAAGTTCAAAGTCCAGCCACGATCCAGATAAGACTTGACTCTTCACGCTCAATAAATGTCAAGTAATAACAGGGCGGGAAGATTGTGATTCTTCTCGCATAATGCAAGAGTCAATCGTTTCTTTTAACGATAAGATTTCACTTGCAAAGTGATAAACGCATTGGGAGCTATCCCTGTGAAGAAGATGTGCATTTTCATAGACTAGGGGCTTGTCTCACGCTTTGCTGCCTCGTAGACCATCAGGGTGGATGCTCACCCAGACGTGTCGTGCATACTACCCAACGTGCATTTGGGCGCCGGGCACGAGTTACCTGGAAACTAAAAACCTGGGCCCCCGTGTCTGAGATGCCAGGAAACACTCACCATCAATTCTGTCCACCATGACCGTGTGGCAGACTGCAAGCAAGAAGAAAAACTGCCGAACTTCCGACTCTTTCCCCGACTGGATTTGCTCGATAAGATAGTGGTCGTAAAACGCAAGCTTCCCGTCAGCAAAGGTGTTCCAGCTAAAATCCACTTGCTGAAACAGGTGGGGGAGGACGAGCAAATGTGATTTTAAAAATAACAGCGTGGGCTTAGCAAATGATAGAAGCTTCTCTTGGAAGCCAAGTCTTTATGGAAAAATTTTCTTAGGATTATAATGTACTTTTTTTTTTTAATTTTTTTGTTAACGTTTATTTATTTTTGAGACAGAGAGAGACAGAGCATGAACGGGGGAGGGGCAGAGAGAGAGGGAGACACAGAATCGGAAGCAGGCTCCAGGCTCTGAGCCATCAGCCCAGAGCCCGACGCGGGGCTCGAACCCACGGACTACGAGATCGTGACCTGAGCTGAAGTCGGACGCTTAACCGACTGCGCCACCCAGGTGCCCCTATAACGTACTTTTTAATGTGTCAAGAGGCTCACCCTTGTCTTAAAACAAAAAGACATCCTGTTGTGGGTTGAATTGTGTTCCCTCCACCCCCCAAAGATATGTTGAAATCCCAACTCCCAGTGGCTGTGACTATTACCTTATTTGGAAATAAGGTCTTTGGAGATATCATCAAGTTAAGATGAGGTCACACTGGAGGATGGTGGGCACTAGTCCAATGTCTGGTGTCTTTATAAGAGGAGGGAGATCTGGACACAGACACACAGATACCCAGGGAGAGCGCCATGTGACAATGGAAGCAGACATCTAAGTGTTGGGTCTGTAAGCCAAGGAACACCAAGGGTTGCAGGCAAGCACCAGAAGCTAGGAAGAGGCCAGGGCAGATTCTTCCCTAGAACCTCAGAGTGAGCATGGCCCTGCTGATACCTTCATTTCAGACTTCTAGTCTCCAGAGCTGTTGTAGAATTTCTGTTCTGTTTCTAGAATAGCTGTAGAATTTCTGTTGTTCTAAGCCACCCTTTTTGTGGTAGTTCATTACAGCAGCCATAGGCAACTAATACACCCCCAAACCCTCCCTTCAGTTAAAGGACTCACCTCTGTCTTGCTGTGATTGTTTTGAGAAGCGTCCCGATGGTCTCCTGAGAAACAAACAGGACAAGGTAAATGGAGTCTTCCCCTGCGTGCAGAGGTCCCTCCTCCTCCCCCTTGCTTTGGTTCTAAGGGTCCCGGCCTGTTGGGGACAGCTTTCAAGTTTAGAATGATTTTCACATTTTTCAAGAGTTGTAAAAACCAAACAGAACATAACAAAGAAGAAAGTCTGATATGAACCACCTTTGGCTTGCAATGGCTAGAATATTTCCTATTGGGCTCTCTACAGAAGGAGTTTGCAGACCCCTGGTCTAGAGGTTCAAACACTGGTGCTTCTCTTGTTCCATACCGCATCCTCCTCTGGGGCCAGACCCCTGTCCTCTGAAGTGCTTTATCTATCCCCCAGCTAGAAAGGGACTGTCACCATGTACGTGAGAACCACTTCCTTAATTCCCCAGTGTCCCACCTTCTTCATGGGCTCCCACATCTGAGATGCCCCTTCTGTGAAAACATATTCATAGTATAGTTTTCTACAAGGAGAAAGCACAGTGTTCCTGTAGCTATTAAAAAATTGTATTAAGTCTTTATTTAAAAGTTAGAGCATTAGAATTGAATACAGTATTAGCCTGAATATTTTTGTTAAAATACAGCATGTTTCAGAATATTAGAATGGAAATCACCTTTTTCAAAATAATCGGGTGGCATAGATATAACATAAAATTTATCACCCTAACCATTTTTTTTTAAGTTTATTTTGAGAGAGAGAGAGAGAGAGAGAGAGAGTCTGCAAGCAGGGGAGGGGCAGAAAGAGAGAGGGAAAGAGAGAAGCCCACGCAGGCTCCATGCTGCCAGCAAAGAGCCTGACGTGGGGCTTGATCTCACGAACTGTGAGATCATGACCTGAGCTGAGGTCAAGAGTTGGATGCTTAACCAGCTAAGCCACCCAGGCACCCTGACCTTAGCCATTTTTGTTTTAGTGTTTATTTATTTCTGAGACAGAGAGAGACAGAGCATGAGCAGGGAAGGGGCAGAGAGAGAGGGAGACACAGAATCCGAAGCGGGCTCCAGGCTCCGAGCGGTCAGCACAGAGCCCGACGCGGGGCTCGAACTCACGAACCGCGAGATCATGACCTGAGCTGAAGTCGGTCGCTCAATCGACTGACCCACCCAGGCGCCCCAGACCTTAGCCATTTTGAAGCCTGTAGTTCAGTGACACTAGATACAATCACGCTGCTGCATAACATCACCACCGTCAACTCCATAGCTGTTTCATCTGGTAAAGTTGCAACTTTGTACTCATTAAACAATAACTTCGCATCCTCTCTTGCCCCCGGCCCCTGGCAACCACCCATTCTACTTCCTGTCTCTATAAATTTGACTGTTCTCAGGCCTCATATAAGTGGAATCATACTAACTGCGCCCTTGTGTGTCTGGCTCATTTCACTGAGCACCGGGTCCTCAAGGTTTATCCACACTACAGCGTGTGTCAGAATGTTTTCCTTTCTTAAAAAAAAAAAATTTGTTTTCAAATGTCTATTTTTCAGGGGCGCCCGGGTGACTCAGTCAGTCAAGCGTCCGACTTTGGCTTCGATTGTGATCTCGTGGTCCGTGAGTTCGAGCCCCGTGTCGGGCTCTGTGCTGACAGCTCAGAGCCTGGAGCCTGCTTTGGATTTTGTGTCTCCTTCTCTCTCTGCTCCTACCCTGCTCACGCTCTCTCAAAAATAAATAAACATTAAAAAAAATTTTTTTTAAAGTACTGTGGCAGAAGAATGTAAAACACTGTATTAATAATTTTTAAAAAAGGTTTATTTTTTAGAGAATGAGAGGCAGAGCATGAGTGGGGGGGGTGGTCAGAGGGTGAAAGGGACAGAGCATCTGAATCGGGCTCTGTGCTGATGGCACTCAAACCCGTGAGCCGTGACATCTTGACCTGAGCCGAAGTCGGACGCTCAACTGACTGAGCCAAGCAGGCGCCCCAGAATGTTTTCCTTTTTAAGGCTACACCAGGTTCCGTTGTATGTGGGACCACATTTTGTTTATCCGCTCATCCACTGACTCACATTTGGGTTGCTTCCACACTTTAGCTACTGTGAATAATGCTCGTATGACCCTAGTTGTGCGAAGACCTCTTCCGGTCCCTGCTTTTGGTGTTTTCGGGATCCCCTCCGAAGCCAGATCACATGGTAATTTTGTGTCTGATTTCTTGAGGCGTGTGTGCCTGTTTCTGACCTCTGACCTCTCCCACGCGTGCGTTCCCAGTGCCGCCAGCGAAGCCCCTTCAGGACTCGGCCCCAAGTGGCCACCGGGGCCGTGCGCCCGGACGGCACCAGCAATTCTGGGACGGCAGGTGCTGGTCACGCATGCTCAGGGATGGAGCGATGGCTTCCACTCACCATATATTTGCCCGTTGATGCAGCACTTCTTGAAAGTCATGATGTTTTGCGTGAGCGTCCCTGTCTTATCAGAGAAGATGTAATGGATCTGCCCAAGCTGCTCATTCAGCGTGGTGGTTCTCGCCTTGGCGGGCGTGTCCTTCTCAGGATAGTACATCTGCAGGTCCCAGTTTAGGAAGTAACTCTGTCCCAGACGGATCACCTCCACGCTAGGAAGGCAAGACAACACATTAGCGTGGACGGTGCTCTCCGACACGAGAGGCAGGCGGCGAGCTTTGTCTCGACTTGTGCGCACCACGGCAAGCTGCTCATCTGCCAAGAGACAAGCCACGTGGTGGCCCGTGGGCCAAGCCTCTGGGTTCTCCCGACCAGACACCTCCTTCTCCAGCTTCAGGGTCAACGCACCTCGTTTGGTGCGATTTCCCACTCATTCCTGACAACATCTGGCCACAGCACCCCACGCGCAGAACACAGCCCTGTGGGACCAGGGACATGGTGACAATGTGGCAATCTCTACTCTCTTTTCTCTCATTCCCATCACACTCGGGACACCTGGAATGGCCGTGTTCGCCCCTGCCCCCGTCATTCCCATGTTCACCTCTGCCCCCGGTTGTCGATGAGGTTCCACTAGGTTACAGAATCGGTGTGCTTTTGGCAAATGACCCCTACGTTGTGATTCCACACTTTGAAAAAACATAGTGTTTTTCTCCCCCTAAAGTCTTATAAGGTTATAGACTGTCCCAAATAAGACAGTCTAAAGGAATCATCACAATTTGAAAACTCTAAGGGATTAAATATATCTCAGGTATAAGGAAGCTGTTTACATATCCAGCAATTGTTAACTGAGCAAAAGATGTCTTTACAATAAGTTAAAGAGGTGGAAAAAGAACCCCCTCCCTCCCCCTGATAATATTTCCTGAGTGCCTACTATGTACAGACAGCATTCTAGGTACGGGGGTGGGGGGCGGGGGGCTCCCCAGGGAAACAAACCCAACAAAACCTCTGCCTTCAAGGAGGTTACCTTCTAATGAGGACAAATCCACAAACCTGTACATCTATCATGTGGTGAAAATCCCCCACAGAAAATCAAAGCAGGGTGAGAACAGAATAAGGGATAGCGTGATATTTAAGACGGAGTGGTGTTTGAGCAGAGACCTGAAGCAAATGAAAGAGCAACTATGTAGATAAGAGGGAAGAACGTTCCAGACAGAGACCAGAGCAGGTGCAAAGGCTCTGTGGCAGGTACTGGCACCCGTGAGGACTATCAGGGAGGCTAAAGTTGGGGGAGACCAAGGCGGAGGTGGACGTATAAGAGGTTGTAGGAGCGAGGGGATGACCAGCACAAGACCATGCTGGGCCTTGTGGGTCACAGTGTGGCCTCCATAATGAGTTTATCCTGAATGAAATGGAAACAAAGGGTAGAAAACAAAGCAGAACGACCTGATCCACCTTGTGCTGTAGAAGGACCTTTATTTCTAAGAGAAAGAAGGAAACCATGTTAGTTACATGACATGACTTCCTAAAACCAAAAACAACATACACGGTTTATAACGTACATTCATGGTTTTAGACAAAATAATCTGTTTGGTAGCTCCCTCCACAAAGGTAAATCTTATCTCAGGTTTCTGTGGTTGTTTCTCCTTTTTTAAAGCGACTGCAAACACATGGCTCCCCAGGGCTCTACTTACTAGTGAACGAGCAACGTTAACGACATGTAATAAGATTAAAAATAAAACAAATGCACATGTAATAAAATTAAAATAAACTAAGTGCTCCTAATTACAGAAGTGTATGTGATCCTGTATGTCTCTGGGCTGTTACTTAATTGGAGGTCAAGGTAGACTCTGGCTGCTGGGGATATTCCAAGGCACAACTCCTCTTCCAATGGTCTAAAATCCAATTGATGAATGACAGTGAACTTTGACAGTAAAGAAAGAAAAAAGTAAAAAAAAAAAAAAAAGAAGAAGAAATCTCACTCAGCAAGGTGATCACTGTTTGTCACAGATATGACCCTGACTCCTTTATTACGGTTCAGATTAAGATAAGAAACAGAACATTTTGAGAGGCTGAATGAGGGCAGGGAGAGAGGCATTCCCAGCAAGCGTTTTACAGGCAATGGATGTACCAGGTGGTAATAAGGAAGACACAGAGAAGAGATTAGGAAGGTTCCTAAAAAGAAAAACAACTAAGTTTTCCCATGTCGGTCTAAATCTCCAGCTTTCTCCCAAGGTCCTTCCTGAAGCCTGGGCTTTGAGTCCACTGAGAAGCAATCTTACCAAGTGAGTGACTTCTGAACCCCGGTTGTCTTTATCTCTAAAGTGGTCAAGAGACAAAGTGCTGTGCCTGGCACAGAACAGACACTCCAAAGTTAATTTCCTCTCCCTATATTACCCCCAATTCTGAAATGAAGCTATTTTCTTACTTGTTCCGTATGACCTTTGAAACAGTTATTGATAGAGATGAAGGGGCAAAGTTGGGAAAATGTACTGCATTCTTCCTTAAAGCAAAAGGCCGAAGAGAGGACAGCCTTACCTGACATAGAGAGAGATGGGCACCATGGTGTTTAGAACAATGATGTAGCCCCAGAAATTTAGGAATCCGCGGTAGGAGGGTGTAAAGTCTTCTCCATCATAGAGGTACCAAGAATAATTGCCAACTTGAGCTTCCCAGTAAGCATGGCCGATGGCCAGACCAGCAGAAAGCAGAATGAGAACAACAAAGATCTGGAAGACATAACACACTGAAGTGTTTGGAAGATGGATCGCCAACCCCCAACCCCCAGAATCTCATAGATGCTAATTAACCTCACTCAATACTCCAGCACATTTGTGATAACTTAGTAGTCTGTAAACACAACACACTTAAAGGAAAAACAGTGCCTACGAAGGCTTTGAAAGCCTATTTGAGTTCTACGGTTGGTTGATTTATCCTACATAATACATATAGGTGCAGTTTTCTTCCCAAAACTATTGTTCGAAAGAGAAGGTTGGTGTCTTGTATTCAAATCCTTAAACATTCTCACATTACAGTGCATCCTATCAATTACTTTTACTTTGAATAATACCATACTGTTGGGGGAAGGTACCTTAGGATGAAATAATTTCAGATAACGCTGAAATGGGACATTTATGGAAAATACTTGATGGAAATAACTTTTTAAAAGAGAACATAAGGGAATTTCACCCTGATTCAGGTAATTATTCCTGAAGACTTCATTACCACTTAAGGTTTAGACCATGTCTGAAGCGGTACAGTGAGTATTCTGTTATGGAAATGACGAGTATATACTTCTGGGATGAATGCAAAAGTCGACCATCCCAGTGGTATTCGGATAATTGTGGTAGGAAGACGATTTACAAGGACAGATTGAAATTTCTGGCCACAGATTCCAAAAGTGCTATATCTCAAAACCACAGGGCTCAGGATGAGAGAGGAACTCGTCGTGAGTACTCTGGCCATAACCGGGACAATGACACGGAAGATGCACATGAAAAGTTTTCACGAAATGGGAGATGAGAGAAAAAAAGAACTGTTTCTTTAATGTTATTACTTTTATACGACTTTAAATGTGTATATGTAATTAAAGTATGGTAAGTATTTGACGTCTCTAAAAACTTATGCATTCAAATTAAGCTAAATACTTGGGAAAAAAATTAATTCTCATTGGGAAATTGGAGCACTGCCCAACATCTTGGGGCTGGGCCTGAGACGCTGTCCTGCTTGCAAGGTTGGCCTTTGGCCGGCATCTAGGAACTTAGATTTTGGAACGGTTTCCTCTCTTCCTCCCCCTTCCTCTCCTTATTTCTTATTCCCTGATAAGAACGGCTCATGGTGCCTGTTTGTATAAAACAATATGGTTTATGCTGATCCCCTACATTCCTTCAGGGCACCTGGAATTTTGGTACATCCCTGGCAGATGGGGCCTGTGTGACCAGATCCCAATAAAACCCCAGGCACTGAGTCTCCAATGAGCTTCCCTGGTAGAGACAACATTTCACATGGGCTGTCACAAGTTGTTGCTAGGGAAATGGAGGGTGTCTTGCCATGTGACCCTACTGGGAGAAGACTCTTGGAAGCTTGCACCTGGCTTCCTCCAGACTTTGCCTCATGAGCCTTTTGCCTTTGCTGATCTTGCTTTGTAAATAAGTCACAATAAGTCATAGCTATGAGGGCAACTAGATGTTTTATTCTGAGTCCTTCCAGTGAATCACCAAACCTGGGGGTGGTCTTGGGGGCCCTCAACACACTTTATATTTAGCCTTGCCTTATATTTAGACTTGTACACTACATGCTGGGGAGGAAAGTTTGCTTTTAAGAGAACTACCCCTGTGGGAAACTAATAGCAGTAAAATCAACCTTATATTGACAGGAGCCCGGCCCCACTAACTTATCTCAGGCTCCCTGGTTTTCCAACTGGTCACTCCAGTTGAAAAAATACTCAACCATTCAGGGGACCCTACAAGTGGAACCTCGGTTCCCAAAAGGATTCTCCGATTAGAATATGGCGTTTCTGAGGAAAAGTAAGAGAGTTCTCTCTCTTGGAATGCCTCACGCATTTTTCTACCTGGCCTGCAGAGGTTAAGATTTCTCTACATAAGAAAAACATACAACAAAATTAGAGTAAAAGATAGTAGTCTAGCCTCTCATCTACTGAAACGGAAAATAAATACCGTATAAACCATGTAGTTCATCAAGTAATCAATTTTAGTTCTTTTGAATCTGGTTTTCCCACTATTTTTCATTATTTTCGTGTCAGCACCTAAAAATGGAAAATTCAATACAATCAATAGTTGGGAAAATCAATGCTTCCTTTCATTTCTGTGGAGAATGAACAGAAGAGCAATCCCCTCCTGTAAAGCTTAAAAGCACATATCAGGGGCGCCTGGTTAAGTGTCCGACTTCAGCTCAGGTCATGAACTCATGGTTTGTGAGTTCGAGCCCCACATCAGGCTCTGTGCTGACAGCTCAGAGCCTGCAGCCTGCTTCGCAGTCTGTGTCTCCCTCTCTCTCTGCCCCTCCCCTGCTTGTGCTCTGTTTCTCACTCTCAAAAATAAAATAAACATTAAAAAAAATCTTAAAAGCACGTATCACATCAATTTCCCAAGAAACTCTGAATTTACCCGCAAAAATGACCAATCCATGGCAGAAGTCGGTGTTCCTAATTACACAGCCACGTAATAAAATTTTATCAGCATCCAAAGGAAAACTTGTGTTTCTCCAAAATAGTGTTCCTGTAAACTTATCCAGTCGGTTATTAGGTTCTTCACATTCAACGAAACCTTCAGAAAAATATGATTCACATAAGTATTCACACATGAAAGATTTTCTGGTTTTAATTAATTGGGACTGAGTTGAGCAACTAAAATTGAAAACAAAGTAAGGCGTGTCTGCACAAACCATCAAATGCTGCCAGTGAATTTTCTCTCTGGAGACACTGGTGTGTGATTTCCAGCGCCATTTTGAACTTGAGATTGGTTTCTCTAAAGGGAGAGGGAGAAAAGGAATTGAATGAACAAACCCAGGATCTCAAAAAGGCACATAAGAAAAATTGTGCAAAGTAACGTTAGGTATACATGGAAGCAGAAGCCAGATCATTAGCTTTTCCTATTTTTGAACTCTCAGTTTGCCTTGGAACTTGGAATTTAGTGAGGTTATTTCCTGAACTACAGAAAAACTCCTGACTTGGAAGATGCTGGTCCCCTTTGCTGTTTGTTTTTGTGGAGCACTATGAATGGGACGGAGGCATTTACAAGCTTCCTGTCCTCCTTCTTACTAACCTCTTACTGCCAGTCTAGACTTAACTACCACACTGCTATTTAAAAACTTAGCTTCTAGGGGCCCCTGAGTGGCTCAGTGGGTTAAGCCTCTGACTCTTGATTTCAGCTCAGGTCATGATCTCAAGGTTGTGAGATTGAGCCCCACATCAGGCTCAGCGCATTGGGATTCTCTCTCCCTCTCTCTCTCTCTCTTGCCCCTCCACCATTCATGTGCTGGTGCACCCTCTCTCTTGCTCTCTCTCTCTCTCAAAATAAATACACTTAAAAAAATTTTAGCTTCTTCACATTAAGACGATTCTACAAGACGTATTTGTTACGGAAAGTGCTTGGACTCTATCAATCTATTATTTTCCAGAGTGAACAACTGGATCCCCTATTTTTGAAAGATACTTCTATCTAGAAAATTAGGAAAGGAGGTGGGAACCTTACCCTCCAATACTTGGTATGCCCACCCACAGAGCAGGGAAAGTGTGTGCTCAGGGACACAGAGAGTCAGGCTGGGCATCGGGGCGGCGATGCTGTCTGCACATGACAGACACCCTTCTGCAGCCTCCACGAAGATAGACTCGGGGTTTCCATATATTCAGAAGTTGACTGTGGCCCTCGACCTCCCCATTCTGTTTGTTCTGACAGGGCACGTAGGATTTGCTACCTTCGGAAAGCTTCCGAGTCTCTCACTCATGGGGATAATAGCTGTTTTATAGGTATGATTGATCACCTGACTAATTTATAGACCAAAGACAGACCTGGTTGCACCGAGATGATCTCAGCGCTCCACAAACAAGTCACGCACATCGAGGGTGTGAGGAGGGGTGTTCGTATCAGAGGGGGTGATGCAGACACTAACCTGGGCAGCCAGCACAGGCGAGCACCGTCCCAGCCCTGCCACTTACTAAGTGACCTCGGGCTGGCTACTTCACCTCCTTGTGTCTCACTTTCCTCAAGGGCAAGGTCAAGGTAATAATCTCATCATGTCGCTGAGAAGATTAAGTGAGCTAACACATGAAGCTAATGCAACTTAGCAGGCACTCAATGAATGTATTCAAAACTGGTCAAAAACAGAACGCGATTCCCGTAAGGGCTCCTATACCAACCAAAGCCAACAAAGGGAAAACTCAGAGTCGTCCATTGACAAGCACTTTAAAAAATCTGTTTTCTCGGTAATTCATTACTGTGATCGTCCTTCACACGTGTGTGGACACTGCTCAGCTGTACGCAAAGGGCTCACGTGTCCATCCCTTTCAACCCTCCCTACAAGTGGGGGGAAGGGCAGGTGTGAGAGCCCCACTTTACAGACGGAACTGAAAAAAGAGAGGTTGGTCTGCTAGGGACACCGCGGGACAGCCAGCAAGGGGTAGAGGCAAGGCTAGATCTCGGGGCTTCCCTTCTGATGCAATTTTCGATGCAACGAATGCGCCTTTAACGGTCGGCCTGAAAACGGGCCCAGCCAAGACCCGCTTACCCATCCAGTTCAGCTGTTTCGACGTAGCAGAGGCTGTTGGGCTCGGAGCTGGACAGGAGCAGCGTGTCGGCCTGTGCAAAACAAGACACATCAACGATACTGACATCCCCAGGGCCAAACTGAGCGCCGGCGGAAGACGGGAGGATAACAGATGAGGGACGCGGGGCTTCTTCACTTACGGGAATAAAATCATTCTTTTTCAGCCGAATGACGTCTCCAACTTGAATCTCTTTCCACTTGGCAATCTTGAACCTAAATGTCAAAAGGAATGAGAGTTTACCGGCCTTTCAAAAGTTACTGGCAAAGGATTTGGAATTATTCTCTCTGGGAGCCAATGATTTCTGGGGAAATGTGAAGAGCCCAGAAAAAAGGTTTCCTGAAACTTCGGCCAATTTCATGATGAAACCCCATGAAGTGGTCACGTGAATCACAGTATCCTCTGAAGGGGAGCGGTGATGATGGTAATGACTTTGATGTGTTCTTTCCGTGTGGCGTCATGGCAGGAAGGCTCGATGGGGCTACTCAAACGTGTGGCAAGGAGCTACTGGGCTCCTCCTCTCTTTTTGCTCACGTCCTGGGCTTCCAGTCTCCTGTTCTCTTGCCTCTGGGTTGTCAACCACCTGCTCAGGACGCGGGACCCAGGTGGTCCCAGGACAGGAACACATTCTGGCTCCTGCACGGGCCACCTGGAATCCTCAGGGAACTTTCGAGCATGCCTCCTCTCTATTAAGTTGCCTTTTCAATGAGCACGCATTGCTTTTCTCATAAGCCTAATAAGGACACTGATCAAATGCAAAATAAAATTAAACAGATGACTATTTTTCTGTCTTAAGTTTCACAGGAAAGAGCCATTTAAATGTCTAACAAATCAACATTTTAAAAAGTTTTAAAATACAGTGGTCTGTGTGAAAACTTTTCACACATAGAAAAGATACCCATAACAGAGATTATGAATCTATCACAACTAATAAACTTAACATTTTCGGAGGCAGAACTCCAATTACCATGTTTGTCCTCCCATTAATTCATGGATAAGAGAGACCTGGAGATTGAAACTACAGTTTTGTTTTTTCATTTATTAAAAAAAAATTTTTTTAATGTTTATTTATTTCTGAGACAGAGAGAGAAAGACAGAGCATGTGCGGGGGAGGGGCAGAGAGAGAGGGAGACACAGAATCGGAAGCAGGCTCCAGGCTCTGAGCTGTCAGCACTGAGCCCGACCCGGGGCTCGAACTCACGGACTGTGACATCATGACATGAGCTGAAGTCGGACGCTTAACCGACTGAGCCACTCAGGTGCCCCCCCCACCAACTTTTAAAAAAATTTTTAAAATGTTTTTATTTATTTTTGAGACAGTGTCTTTTCATTTAAAATACACTTTAAATATACGCTTATACCCCAGCGTGACCAATTTTATTAGAATCGAACACACACTTCTCCATCTCAGGATTTAAAAAAAAGAATTTGGCTTATCTTTCAATAAATGAAGTTGTAGTTAGTTTACATTTCAGCATCTCTAAAACTGTAAATTAGAATTTGCAAATGGGTGTCAAATTATAAACGAGCAAGTTAAGAACCTTCCTGCCACAGCTCTTTGGGGGTGTGAGTGGCAACTGTGTTGAGCCTTTCCACTGTGACATCTGGTTTCCCCTTGGGAGGTCCCACTGCCCTGCCCCACAATGCCCAAGTCCCCACACAGGCTTGACCCTCCTCTAGGGGGAGCTGGAGCCGTGGCCCTATCAGATACGCACTCTGACCCCCAAATTCAAGGCCACTCAGAGCTACTCTTTACCAGTGGAGTCAGCCAGGTTGTGAGCCATGGCCACAGTTGTGCGGGCTGGCTAAGAACCTACTGCTCTTCATCAGAGCAATTCTAAGTGATTTGAAAGGTACCCTTCAGAACCGAATCCATTTATTTGGGAGGGGAAAAAAGCCATCCCAACAGATGTATAGGCTGACGCAGTCTATCTCCAAATTAGACACAGTGGAACAGTGCCTGCAAATCACCTTATTTTTCTCAGTGTTGACACAAAAAAAGTCTTTGAACTGGGCCTTCATCACTATTTTTTTTTCTTTTTAGGGAAGTATAATTGGCATACAATAGCCTACAGTTTCAGGTGGACATCATAGCGACTCGACATTTTCCTAGTCGCTATTTTTAGCACTTGACTTTGTGGTTCTGCCTCCAGGCGCTTGCTCAGAAAACAACTCATTACTGGTCACAGTGGACAATATTTATTTAACATTTATTGAGCCCTTTCTGTGCGTTGGAGACTCTGATGGACAAAATACAACCAGTTACCATCAAGACAGTCCCCTTGAGAAACTTATAGTTCAGGACAGAAGGGAAGACACCTACACGGATAATTCTCTTTTCTTTTTTTTTTTTTTTTTCAATTTTTTTTTTTAACATTTATTTATTTTTGAGAAGCAGAGAGATAGAGCACAAGCAGGGGAGGAACAGAGAAAGAGGGGGAGACATAGAATCCAAAGCAGGCTCCAGGCTCCGAGCTGTCAGCACAGAGCCCGACACGGGGCTCGAACTCACAGACTGTGAGATCGTGACTGGAGCTGAATGAAGTCAGACACTTCACTGACTGCGCCACCCAGGCACCCCCCCCCCCCGCGGCCCACACACAAATAATTCTGATAAGAAAGATGACAGGGACAAGGTCTTGATTGCACAGTGAAAGGAGAACCAGGAAAGGGGGGTCAAGACATTCGAGCAAAGTCCCGAACACCTAAGTTGGGAACAGCAGAGACGGGAGCTTCAGGCTTAAGGAGCCATGAAAACACACGAGGGCCGATGCCACGGGGCTCAAAGGACGAGTGCCCACAACCCAGTTTGGCTGTAGCCCCTGGGTCACAAGGAGGGTACCAAGTCTTAGTAAGTTAAGAGAGACTCTTACAACGAAAAGGCTGCTGTGCCAATAGACTTCCAAGTTTGGAATGGTTATCTCTGAGTATGTTTCTAGGCGTACTTATCCGTTCTGTTCTTGTAACTAAGTTAAGGAAGACACAGTACCTGCCATCCTTAATGACTTCACACGTCCTATTATTGATTTCATTATCCATTTTATGGCGAGCCTTTAGAAGAGAGGAGGGGAAAGGTTATTTGAATATTCTCCAAACATGAGATATTAACGCCAAACTAAGATAAGCTCACAGCAGGGAGGAGAAAGTTGCCCCAGAAATCCTTACCACGTCATCCACCAGGTCTTTGATGGCCGTGATGCCCAGCACCAGGAGCAAGGGCACCAGGGTGGTGTACCATGCCAGGGTCGTGATTTGAGGAATTGCCTGAAAGAAATACAAGGTAGACATGTGTGCCCACGAAGGCACGGCATCTACAGGTAACTGCTGATTCTAACCTCCAAGCCTACGTCCTGTAGGGCAGGTAGGAAAGTCACCGAAGCCTCCAGCCGACCACCTTCTTGCCGCCCTCTCTAGCTTATGGCCTCCTGGAACAGGCCCCAGAGAACAGTGGCTCCTGAAATTGTCTCATTGCGACCTTAACTGGACACCAGGGGGGCTAAAAGAGAACTGCTCCAAACTCTTTGTGAAAATCGTAACTAACGGGAGGGAGGGCCGTGTGGGGAGCTGGGACAAGGAGTCCTTCAGCTTTTATAGGGAATGCATGTAGCAGGCTGTCCACTGCTGGTTGCTTAGCCAGGGGTCTCTGAGGGTCTCATGATGGAGGCAAGGACGGCAACAGGTAGTAGCTGCCTCTGAAAGCCAGTGATTGCGCTGGGCCTTGGAGGAAGCCCTGCCTCCATCAAGACGGCCTTCAAGTTGGAACAAAAGATTGGGAAGCGAGTTTAGTAAAGATCTCTTGTAGCCATCCTACGGATCATCAGGTCACATGACGTAGTCATTAAAACGACAGGCTGGGGGCGCCTGGGTGGCTCAGTCGGTTGGGCGTCCGACTTCGGCTCAGGTCACGATCTCGCGGTCCGTGAGTTCGAGCCCCGCGTCGGGCTCTGTGCTGACAGCTCGGAGCCTGGAGCCTGTTTCAGCTTCTGTGTCTCCCTCTCTCTCTGACCTTCCCCCACTCAGGCTGTCTCTCTGTCTCAAAAATGAATAAACGTTAAAAAAAAATTAAAAAAAAATAATAATAAATAAAAAAAATCAAATGACAGGCTTTGCGGTGAAGTTCCTGGATCCAAGTCCTGCCCCACTCTCTCGCTTAGGGCTTTGGGACTTTGAACAAGCTCCGGTGCCTCACGGGCCTCAGTTTCTCTGAAAATGGAGGTTATGATAGCATTTACATCACAGAGTACAAGAATTAGGTGAAGTAACCAGCAAAGGGCTGTCTAAAGCTATTACCATCACTTTAACTTAAATTGCTAGAACTTAAGAAAAGATGATTGGGGGTTGGTCGAAAGAGAGAACGATCATTTGCCACAGTATTATCAATGTAACTCCCCCTTTTCCTTGCTAGAAGGAAAGAAGGGAAGACTGGCCCACTTATGACATAGCAGTACCTTCAAATTTTAGTGTTTGTCTCCACGTGGGCCGGTTTCAAAGGTCCCTCTTGGTAACAGGAACATTCTATACTGCCAAGCCAGTAGATCTCATATCCTACTAAATCTGTTGGGGATCCAGTTCACCCTCCTGCTTCCTTGCCGCTCCCTGCTTCCCCCATCCCCACCCGGACACACACATGTTCCCATTTGCATGAAACCCTCTTCGGTAAATCCCAGCAGATGAGACGGTTTTCCAAATCCAAGGCTTGTTGTCAAGTGCTAAAGGTTGGTAGTCTGGTAACTAGAGGGTGTAGAGTTCCCTCGATTATAACAACGATTTCTAGATAGGTAAAATTAACACTCTCTAGATAAGTGGATCCTTTGCCACAATCAAGAAAAAAAAAAAAAAAACAGCCTCAGGAAAGGAATAGGCCTTTGGTCAACACAAAAACCAACTCACAAAAATAATCTATTGAGAATTATGACCCAAACATTGGTACAAATAAATAATATTCTTGACGAAATTAAGCACCTGCATGAAAAACAAAGGGCAGGCACACAATAAATAGAATTTTAGGGTACAAATAATTGTACAATGTGAAGGTTTTAATTGTATTCACTTCAGGGAAACCAGTTTTAACATTCACATTAGTACGCGACTGATTTTTTTTTTTAAATATAGAATTAAAGTCTTTCCATTTGCCTCCTTCCCCTGTTTATTTAACATTGTCGAGCTCGTTCTGTATGAGGCACTATTTCCTTGTGTGCAAAAAGCCCGATGTTAATACAACAACTTTTAAGATTACATGTGTCCACAACTTAAATGTTACTGAGTCATCATAACTCAAAACAGATTTAAGATATCAAAGGGCATTACCTGTAAGATAAGAAGGACCAGGAAATAGAAATTGGCTGCTCTCTTAAACTGCTCAAACAAATTCATTGGTAGAAAGGTAAAGGCATTATACTTGTACGTTTTAATTGCGTTACTCTGTTGGGAAAAGAAAAAAAAAAATGAAAGGGTCATTCTACATGGGGCCGCGCTTTTTTCCTGATGTATACACCCCTGTGAAAATCACTAAAGCCTGATGGCCCACAGGGACACAGGGACATGGGCCAGGAAGACACCGAGATTTCCTTTACACTTTTAATTCTTTTTTTTTTAATTTTTTTTCAACGTTTATTTATTTTTGGGACAGAGAGAGACAGAGCATGAACGGGGGAGGGGCAGAGAGAGAGGGAGACACAGAATCGGAAACAGGCTCCAGGCTCCGGGCCATCAGCCCAGAGCCTGACACGGGGCTCGAACTCCCGGACCGCGAGATCGTGACCTGGCTGAAGTCGGACGCTTAACCAACTGCGCCACCCAGGCGCCCCCAACACTTTTAATTCTAATCAGCCCTCAGAATGACTCCTTGGAGGCTTAGGTCAGAGACAGCAACAAGCAGCAGACATTTCACTTCAAAGGTCTCTGTGGCAAATCTGACTGAGCAAACGGACACGGCTGGAAGATTCCTGGACTCCTCAGAGCCTCTTAGAAAATAGGGCAGGGGCGCCGGGGTGGCTCCGTCGGTGAAGCGTCCGACTTCAGCTCAGGTCATGATCTCATGGTTCGTGAGCTCGAGCCCCCCGTCAGGTTCTATGCTGACGGCTCAGAGCCTGGAGCCTGCTTTGGATTCTGTGTCTTCCTCTCTCTCTCTGCCCCTACCCCGCTCATGCTCTGTCTCTCTCTCTCTCTCTCTCTCTCTCTCAAAAATAAGCAAACATTAAAAACAACAATAAAAAAAAAAAGAAAACAAGGCAAAGGGAGACGTCAGCCCGAGCGACGACGCTGGAAAAGGAACACTCTTTTACTGAAGGGGGATGAAGTCTACTGTGTAAAATAAAAGACACTGTTGTGTGTTGAATTGTGTGCCCCTTTTAAAACATATGCTCACGTCCTAACTCCAATAGCCATGACTGTCATCTTATTTGGGAAGGGGGTCTTTGCAGCTGTAATCAAGTCACAGTGACGTCATGCTGGATGAAGGTGGGCCCTCATCCAATGTCTGCTGCCCTTAGAAGAAGAAGAAGGAGAGGACAAGTGGACACAGACATAGGGACACACGGGGACAAGGCTGTGTGGAGACAGAGCCGGGGAGTGGAGGGATGCGTCCACAAGCCAAGGAAGGCCAAGGATTGTCGGCAACCTCCAGAAGCCGGGACAGAAGCCTGGAACAGACGCTGCCTCAGACCCTCCGGAAGGAACCAACCGGACTGACACCTTGATTTTGGACTCATGGCCCCTAAACTGTAAGAGAATACATTTCTGTTGTCTTAAACCAGCCCGTCTGTGGCTCTGCTGCAGCTGTCCTAGCGACTAAAAGACACGTTACGACGCGTAAGCACGCACCTGACGGGGGACCCTTGATCATATTGGATTATTTTTTTAATAATTGCTTTAATGTTTATTTTCAAGAGTGAGAGAGAGAGCAAGCAGGGGAGGGGCAGAGAGAAGGCGACAAGAGGATACAAAGCAGGCACTGCACGGTCAGCACCAAGCCCAACGCGGGGCTCAGACTCACGAGCCGTGAGATCGTGACCTGAACCGAAGTCAAACACTCGGCCGACTGAGCCACCCAGGTGCCCCGATCGTATTTTAAAGGTAATAAGGACTTCTGGGGTGAAAAGATCTTTGGTCTCTAAATCTATCACAGGCAGAAAAGGGGGAAATAGGTTCTTAAGATTCCTTTCAAATTCTTATTACTTTCAAACATAACGTTTCTGTGACACTGTTGTATATTCTTCTATAAAACATTAAGAGAGCTCTGCACACACACAGGGAACTTTTCAATCTGCATAATTTTGTTCTGGCTTGTGTCAAGCCACCCCTACTCACCTTTATTAAATTCAAAGTGATGAATAAAAATGATATTCTATACGATGGACAATGATAATCAATACAACAGGCCGGGGATTATCTGGAAGGCAGGTGTCCCATGAAGTTGCTAAGCATAATGGCTATTGGAAAAAACTGGCTCTTAGCGAAGATGAGCTAGAAAGTTAAAATCCATGGGGCGCCTGGGTGGCTCAGTCAGTTAAGCGTCAGACTTCGGCTCAGGTCACGATCTCATGGCTCCTGGGTTCAAGCCTCACGTCACTCTGTGCTGACAGCTCGGAGCTTGGAGCCTGCTTCAGATTCTGTATCTCCCTCTCTCTGCCCCTCCCCTGCTTGCTCTCGATCTCGCTCTCCCTCCCACCCCCCACTCCCCAAAATAAATAATAACATTAAAAAACACTTTTTTTTAATTTAGAAAGTTAATATCCACTTACCGCATATTTGCTCTCCTTAATACAAAAGAACTTTGTGTTCATAAATTGAGGCTGTTCATGGAAGCTTCGATCATTTGCCTTGACTTGCCATGTACAATCTTTTAAAAAGAAAGAGAAAAGTAGTCCATCAAGCATAAAATTAGCGTATTCTTGTGGGCTGAACCGTGAGCTTCCCAGGTTCATCTGGTAAAGTCCAAACTCCCCCTCCAGGCCTCAGAGTATGACTATTTGGAAATAGGGTGATTGCAGATGTGATCGCGTTAAAGTGAGGTTATTAGAGTTGACCCCAACCCAATAAGGCGATGGCCTTCTTAAAAAAAAAAAAGCAAATTTGCACATAGATATGCACAGTTGGGAGCTGGTGGGAAAACATGGCCACCTACAAGCCAAGGACAAAAGCCTGGAACAGACCCTTCCCTCACAGCCTCAGTAGGAACCAACTGTACCGACACCTTGACCTCAGATTTATAGTCTCCGATTCTGTGAGACAGTAAGGTTCTGCGGTTGAAGCTACCCAGCTTGTACAACTGTGACGGCAGCCCTAGCCAATGAACGGACATGCTGTGATTCATAGAATGTTCATGGAACATTGGAGTTCTAAAAGAGTAATCCTCATTTAAACATGGCCCGAACAAAATCCCAGAGCCCCTGGAAGGTCACAGCTAAATTAAGTCAAATTATTTTTTCCAGACTCATGCACTTGGTTTATAAGATCGGTAACCGAGTATCGAGGGAATGAAAAAAACAAAGAAAAAGGACATCACCCAACTAATCCAACACTTTTGAGTCTTGCGCACAGATCAGCACGTGCTGCTTTACCTCATGTGCTTCATGTCACAGACACAGTACTGAGCAGGCTCGGTCCATTCAATCAGCATGTCTAAATTCCAAGGCATCTGAGAAAGTCCATAGCATCTCTACTGCCGGGGGGAACATTCCTCACCCAACAGGTGTCTCATAAAACACTTCTCCCAATCCACCCCTCACCCCTCCCCACACTCTTTCTGACCTGATTCTTCTTGGGGGTAGTTTTCTCCACTCTTACTGGCAGATGTTGTCTACTGGTTCAACAGGGCAATTCCCAACTCTGAGATCACGTCCTTCCTACGTCCCCCGCTACAGCCAACGACATTCCTAACATCTGTGCTTATCAGATGCGCTTATCTTTGCCCTCTTATTTTTCCGTATAGGTTTATCAGGTATGTATCCCCCAAAATAAGTTGCTCAGGCCGGTTTTGAGCTGTATCACTTGTGTTCTTCTGTGAATTGCTTTTCCACTCGCAATACTATGTAACTTTCATCTACACTAATGTGGTGTAGTATAAAATATACTATTCATTGCCGCTGTTTTCTAGCATCATGCATATGCCAAAATTGATCAATTCTTCTGTTGGCGAATAGTTTGGGTGTTTCTAGCGTCTGGCTATTGTTACGAATCATTTCGCTATAATAATAAACATTCTCTGGAACTCATAAGATTTTTTTTTTCCCCAGGTATCTACTTAGGAGTGGGAAGTCTGGGTGATGACTTTCCTCTTTTACTTGCCCATAAACTTCCTGCACCCCTCCTCCTTCTCTTGACTGTCCCTTGAGAGGACAGGAGTCCAGTCTATGTTGAGGACCCCTTGGTGGGGGGGTGGTGGCGGCGGGGAGAGAAGGAGGGAGAGGAGAGGCAGGTGGTGACGTTAGGACTTCAGCTACAGCATTGGGGAACCAGTCGGGAAGGCGTGAAGCAAGGCAGCGTCCTCGCACTGGCTCTAAAGAGCATGAACGTGAGGTTGGGGTCTTCTGACCGGAGACAGGGGACTCAAGCTACACCATGGTGACATCGCACCATCAGCCCACTGTGAAATTGCCGCTGCCTGGGGGACATAGAGATTCCAACAGAAGATCTGTTCCATCCTGAGATGGTCTCTCTGTTTATCTAACCTGCAGAAAGGAAAGCTGGCACGGTCTCCAGCAACTCTTCTCCGAGCCTGGGCCCCCACAGTAGCTTGCTCCTCTGTCTCCTTTTTAATGAGACTCCAAGTTTACGGGCCCCCCTGCTCCCCAAACCCAGCCCCTGGCTACCCTCTGCTGTCTCCATGGCGGTCTCCATGTTCCTCCCTCCACAGCCTCGGAACCAACACCTCTCTGTCTCACGGTGGGACCACTGTTTTGTGCTAGAGCTGGCTTTGACGTTGCTCAATGGAGAGCTAACCCCGTGGCTCTCTTCCAGAATCAGCAGGAGATGGGCTCCACCCTGGTTTGTGAAATATCCTGGGGTCCTTTGTGGTTGCAGCTGCTGCTTCCTGGGCTGATCCAGACTTCTTTCTTTCTGTCCTCTCTAGTGGCTCCACAGCTAGCTGAAGACTCATTGGAGGTGGGTTTCTGAGTTGACCTGTCACCCCTATCTTACAGCATTGTCACCTACCCCGTGGTGATAGGAGCTCCTCCTACTGGGTTTGGTCCTCCCTTCTTTCCTTCCGAGCGTTAGCACTGGGCTGGGAGACTCCTTGGCTTCCAGCCTGTCCACTTAGGGAGCCTTCACTGTGCAGAGCTGAAATAAGGGTCCCACTACTGCTCGTTTAGCTGCTTGGGCAGCAGGTTCGCAGGTAGTCTCTGGGCCTGCCACCACCACACTGGGCAGCTCTCTGGGGACCGGCCAGGGCCTCCCATGACACGCTGAAAGTCCCCCCGGAGGATATGCTTGCAGACCTTCCGAATAAATAGGAAAGGCACACTCACAAGGTGAGGTCTAGTTTATCTCTGGCTCAAGTCCTTTTTATCTCAATGGATCACCTATCGATGGAGCCCAGCACCTCATGGAAATTTCAGCTCAAGGGATCTTTCTATCATAGAGATGATGAACCTGGCAGTCAGGCTACCTCCACAGAGGAAAAATATTTCCACCCACCTGGCTTGTCTTTGCCCATCTGCTCCTGACTTCTTCAGTCCCATCATGCATAGGTCGGTGGCTAACACATGTTCAGTGCTTAGCGTGTGTCAGGCATGGGGCCAAGTAGTCCGGCTACTCTGTCCACTTTGCTGTCCTGACTGGGCCTTCTCTTGTGACCTATGCTCCAAACCACCCTGAGAACTCTGCCCACGAGCTGACGTCAGATGGTTGCTTATGAGCATAGGGTTGACCTTTCCACCAGGAAAGGTGGAAGTCAAATATCAGGTTGTGCTTGGTTTCCTAACGGGAAGGCAGAGGCATAAGCATCCACTGCTATGAAGGCTCAAGACCGGATGCTATCAATCGCGAAGAAAAATCGAGGAAGCACCTCCTTGGCATTAGGTTCTCCAGTGACTTGTGTTTGAACGTGCACGCTAGACCAACCCCGCCCCCCGACAGTAGGATACACATGTGTGGGTGAGCCCAGTTTTCATGAACCCCTCCTCCCCTGCAAACTGGTAAGGGAGGGAAATTAACAACTAACGGGACTCAACTAGTTTTGGAGACGGGAGGATATTAAAAAACATTTTCAAGTAAAGAATTCTAAAAGTATCCATCTTATATAATTATCACAATAAAGATAGACTTTTAAAAATAATGTGTTACGTTTTTTCAAATGATTCACTTTCTAGACTTCTCCCTCATAGGAAGTACCGATAATTTTGCAAAAGGGACAAGCGTGGACTGCTGAAGAATGCAAATAATTAACCTTGTTACTTCTTTAAACACCACAATACCATTACTGAAAACTCCTCTTGCATCATTTTGGCTGCCCTTCATCGGGCAATCATAATGATCGTGTCATTGCAAACGCAGAAGCTCCCAGCACCTCTGTAGCCAAAGTGCAATTTTATGAAATGGGAAGATTAAACTGGAACCGGAAGACAACTCATAAGCTCTACTGCAATGTGCATTATCTACTATGCAATCGGAATATAACGTATGCAATCAGAGCATTTCTTTTCCACTCAAATAGGACACCTAAATAAAAGTAGGTAAAATGGATATTTTATGGGATAATCCTGAATCTATTCTATGTCACGGAAATTTGAAAATGCATGTGCTTTTAGTGGTTTACTTTGGCTTGCTGGTGACTTAAGACACACCTCCAGGCACCAGTGTTCCAGAACTTCACTGAGCCGCTGTTCTAAGATTCAGGAAGGCTGAGAAAAAAACGTTGACAGGATTCCTCAAGAATCAAGAAAAGGCCAAAGAGAAGGGATGAAAATCGATCTCAGAAAAACTCAACAGGAAAGAATAAGCCGCCCTTGTAATGAGCTGGATTCTTTGGTCCCCCTCCTGGCTCTTGTTCCCTCATCATTAAACCCCCCAGCTAGTGGCTCCTCTCTCTGTCCCAGCACTACACCTCATCCCCAGCCATTTTGATATGTACGCCTCTGACGCAAAGTAGCATTTGGCCTCAAGCAGGACCCGTGAAGGGTTTACTGGAAATGACCTCGGTCTCTTAATTTTATGCTTTTGATAACATCTTAGGGAGACCAGAGAAAGTAACCACGTTATCTTCATCTGCAACATACTGAGCTTAACCGCAGGAGTTTTCTAGTTAATTTTAGAAATCTGATTGTAGTCAAATAGTCAATAACCCCATTTCCAACAAGGTTTCTTGTCTGGCGTAATTCAGACAAATCAGAGGGCAAATAAATTGATGCCTCCTCTTAATCCTCCCCTGAGTTTTATGCTAATTGCTTGAGGAATATTTCAAGCAGAGGCCATAAAAAAAGCAAAAGCTGTGTCTGTGGTCAAATACATTTGCAAAAGACAGCATAAAATACTGCATCCTTTATTTTTTTTCCCCCTTTGGACATTCAATGGACCCAGTAACATATTAAAGGCTCTAAGAAGGCATTTTTAAAATTTTATTTAATTCAGTCTTTTCAAAATCAATGTGAACACAGGCACATTTTGTTAAAATTACTGAACACCTACTAATATGGTTTGAGAAATGCTCTGCTAAAGCACATACCTTTAGGAAGGATAGCAAAATAACATTCGGAAAGATTTGTCTTTTTGATCAAACATTAACTAATTACTCACTTGGAACAGAGAACTTTACAAAACATTTGGACCACAAGGCTAATTTACAGAAAAAGGATATATCTTGTCCCATGGGGCGCCTGGGTGTCTCAGTCAGTTAATATC